GGCTGGTAATGATCAGACACACCAGGCTAGAGTGAAGCATCACCTCATCCACCACATCCTGCAGGCCTGCAGCCACAGTGAGATAACATTACTCATCAAAGCAGGAAATGATTATCGATCCTGTCTGTCAAAAGGCATTCCCACAGGTAAGAAAATATTTTACTTTGAGCAATGTGCTGCTGAAGCAGTGCCTCCGGGCCGTGTTCATGTTCAGGTGAGGCTGGTGCCCGCGTCAAACGATCCAGGTCATCAAGTAGAACAACAGAGGGCTGCCTCCATTCTGCCTGTTCAAAAATGTCCATCAGATTCTGCCTCACAGTTTCTACTCTTTTGCCTAAAAGGAAAACAAAACATCTTTTTAATTAAGTTAAATTTTATCCTTCTTTTCCATTCAGACAGCAAATATTCATGAAGTCTTTCTTGACCTTGTAGCTTTTTGCAGTCTACCACCTCAACGTGTGCATCCAGCTCTTCTCTAGCTTTCCTGCAAAAGGCTTGGGATAGAGTGCTCTTCCCACTCCCCTGAAGAGAGAAGTTACAGCACAACATGTTGCAGACTTAAGAAAACAATACTGGTTAATATGTGTTCTCCAGTGAGCTTAAGCTGCAAAAAAAAACAACAACAACAAACAAACATCAATGCTATGAAGTAGCAATTTATCTTATGTTAATGAATTATATTGACAGCCGTTGTGTTAGCAATAGTAGTTAACTTAAATGAGATAAAGAGAGGTAAAGAGATACCTTGGCACCAGTGATGAGAAGAGCTCCACCTTGAAGTCCCCGACCAGTGGTACCCAGCTCTCTCGAGAGGGGACTACCCAGAAGGCTATGGGAGATAAACTCAAACCCAGTTCTACAAAGCTCATCCATCCCCCTGGGGAAAAAAACCCAAACATGACAGAGACTGATGGAGAAAAACAATCTCCTGCTTAAATCACGCATAGGTACTGAATTAGCAAAAGACGTACCCAAGAATACTAAGAGAGGGAAGTTCTGAGTGGGGTGTTTCAACTTCAGGCTTCACAGCTGGGGTGGTTACTGGCTCTCTGTCTACCTGAAGATGAGAGAAAGAGGTAACTGAACAACTTCAAAGACTTTTTTTTCTTAAAAACGTGTTGAATTTTTTAATAAAAACTGCATGAAGGAATCTGTTTTCATGTAAAATGTTTAAAGACACAGATATATAATTCTCCACTTGCATGGCGATACCTGTATGTCTTTCTTCTCGATAACTGTGGGTGCTAGCAGAAACAGCTGATCTGAAGCTTCAGTCTGTGGTTCTGGTTTCAGCACAGTTAAAGCAAACTCTAACTTTGCTATGGAAAAGAATAAAAAGTGAAGGGCCATTATTTTTTTAAAAAAATAAGAAGCTAATTTAAGATATTTATTATTACCCCCTTTTTTAAATTTACATAGCCATATGCAAATCTGTCTGTGCATGATTTATAAATACACTTCTTTGGCTTGTAACGGAAGTGCAGGAATGAATCACCATCAGTTCCATGTAGGAGGATGGTGCCAGACCGTGCTGTCAGACAGGCTAAAGGTTCGTGACTCTGTGTGTGCAGCCAACCAAGGAATGCTGTCTGGATCTCCTCATCATCCTCCTCAGGCTGAAGAGAAAAATGTCAAAAAAAATTAAAAATCAGATGGACAGAAAGGAAAGAAGCTGAACAAATTTTCTGCAATTCTGAACAAATTATATGTCCTTGTACTTCATTTACATCCGACACTGTAACACAGATGTACACTCCAGCACTCACCAGTGGATTTAGGGGTTGTAGGCAAATAGTAGAAGCTACTTTGATAGCTGATTTCACTGGCTTAATTCTTACTGTTGAATGGGCAGGGATATTAAGCCTGCTGGCCAGAGGCTCTGGAATCTAAAAAATGAAAGATACAAAAATTTTAACAGAAACAGAAAGAAGTAGGACACTGCAGTATTGTTAAAATACTGTTTATAAACTATAGATATTCTTCTCTTCAGACACCATACTCACCCATACTCTTCCACTGTGAATCTCTCCCTTGCTTCTTTCCTTGCATCCAAGCAGCTTGGTACAATGGCACACTGCCCTAACCACCATGGCCTCCTCTTCCTTCACCTCCTCTCCTTCAGGCGTAGCAGTCTCCTTAGTAACTTTTGCCTTCTTCTTTTTCTCCATTGCCTGCTTGGTTCTGTCCCTCGTTTCTTTGGGGGATGGGACTTTGGAGAGAAGGCCATATGTAATTGAGGAGTGACCTTCACTCAGCCTAGCATTGAAACTGTGGCTCCAAGGAAAGATGTGAATAGCATTAGTTGCAACGTGGCTTATGGTGCTGAGAGAGTGGGGAGGTGCACCGCACACTCTGTACAGAGAGTCCGTAAGGAGAGCGGGGATTTCAGGTAAAGGCGGTTGTTCCTTAACTGGGTCATAAGCGCCCTTTATCATATGATGAAAGAGGGTTTTCAGGTCGGCTATGCCACCCCACTGGTGGCTGTTAGAAGTAGAGGAGGCAGTTTCTGATGATGGTCCTGAAGGGGAGGAGAAATCCATGTTTGGCTGTCTGTGAAAACTTTCTGAGTTTGGGTTGGCTTTTAGATGAGAATGTGTGTGGGTGCCAGTTTCAGCGCGGATCTTCGGGGACACAACAAGTTCTGTGAATTGCTCCAGGCGACCGTAGGGCACACGTGGAGAAAGTGAAGCTGTGCAGAATTTTTTTTTAATTAAACTGTAGTCATAGAAGTCAAACATTTAAAACTCAAGTTGAGCAGGCAAACCATTATAACTGCAATATTTTTGTGTCACATGTTATTTGATAAACAACATAGAATAATTGTATCAAAACTGACCTATTCGGATAAAGATTACCGTGTGGTTGTCCACCCACACAGGAAACACGGCATCTTGGAAAACTACTCTGATCTGATCCAGTAGTTGCAGCTCCAGCGCAGAACTGTGGAGCTCCTGGCGATATCAGTCACACAAATGTGATATATTAATAGTTGTTAAGTGTGCTTTAAAAAGGAGAAGTCACCTTGTAATTATTAGAATGTGTAAAATAATGCAAACTTGTATGAAGACAAGTTTCACATATTGTATGTCACTAAATTACCCACCAGGATTTCCCAGTCATCAGCTGATACAGGCTCCACAAACACCCGATCCAATGATGAGACCTGATGACATGCCCTTAAGAAGCCCTGAGGAAAAACAAACCAGTAAACTAAACAACTAGTAAGTCCAGACAGAAACTGACAATCACTGTACACTGTCACAAGATGGAGAAAATTAGCTTCTTCTGAAAATACAGCGAAGAACAGATTCCTCACGGAGGGGCTCTACCTGCTCTCCATCTGTCAGGCCCTGCTTCTCTCCTAGCTGCCGACACAGCTCCACTTTGTGGCTGTCCAGGCTGGAGCTGGCTCTGTTTTGAGTCCAGGTGAGGAACACTGGAGGCCCATGACCACAGGACAACTCCAAAGGCTGGTTCTGAAAAAGACCTTAAATGGGTTGACTGTGAATGTCACTGTATACAAAAGTATTCTACGGTCATTGCCAAGTTGCATGGGATCATGCAACTTGGCAAAGACCCCAAATTAGAGCAGCAAATCTCCAACAGAGTGGCTGTAAAGGAAAGGAATCAGTGTATTGCAATAGCCCAGTCAAAGTCCAGACCTCAGCCTGATTGAAATGCGGAACCTAAAGAGAGCTGTGCATAAAAAAATTCCTGCAAACACTGTAAAGTAGAGTGGGACAAAGTTTCTCCACAATGCAGTGAGACACTAATAACAACATAAATAAAATGGTTACTTCAATTTAGTGCAGCTAAAGGTGGTTCAACAAGCTTTACTGAATCAAGGAGTGTACTTTGTTTTTCACATGACTGCATGTTTGCTGAAGCACCTTTTGTTTACCCTAGACTACACCATGACCACCATCCTTGCTTGCAACCATGCTTGAGATAACAAATCGTCCTCATTCAATCCATTTTACACTGTTTAGACTAATAATGACAGGGTTAACCCAGTTCTGAATCCTTTGTAAGTAAAGGTCAAACTTAAGGAGAGGAAGCCACGAACCAGGAATTCCTGTTAGCCAAAAAAGTGCAAATATAAACAGAAAGCCTTCATCAGAAAAACACTGTTCATTCATAACAGCGAACAGGATACAAGCTAGAAAAGTCATTTTAAAAGATACACTAGACCCCGGATTTATTTCTAACCTAGTCCTTTGTCTCCACCAAGTGAAACCGTAAAGGAACTGCTACGAAAACACCTCCACCGAGAAGGAAACAAATACTGAAATACTAATTGCTAACTACCCTCTCTCTCCATATGCTGAAGTATTGTGTTTGACTCAGCTCCTCTTCTATCTATATTCAGAGCACGTTTCCAGCCGGGCCGAAGTGGAGTGCATGGAGTCATGAAAAACTGATCTTTCCAATTCATTTGATCTAGAGAGCAGCCTGACGCGAGGTCTAAACTGCAGAAGTCACATTTTATTTTGTAATGTGAATAACTGTCAAAGGGTCTCGGAAATTAATTTACAGCAGCATTAATTTTGTTAAAAAAATATACAAGAATAGAACAACATACAGAACGGGCCAACATTTTAGCTAAAAATGGTTTAAGTCAACAAAGCTTCTACTAATTTTACCTAAACGATAGTGCTAGGTGGTTAGCTAGGCTATCTTACCTCGTTCAGGGAAAGCTGTGATATTAGCTTCAAGGGAAGGTGTAAAAAGCAGTTTTTTGCGTTGCTAAAAGTGACAGTTACGGGTTGAATGCCCTGATTGCTAAACATGATTTTCACAAAGTTTTCTATTTCGCGTTCAACGCGTCAAGCAAGCTGCACCGCTAACATCAAGTATATGACAAACTCATAGTGGATCGATGTGCTCTGTGTGTGCCAGACCAGAGTAGCCGATATTCGGTTGAACGCATTTCAGAATAAGACGTCCAACTACGACATGCTTTGAATGAATCCTATTCAACACGAGAATGAACCTTTATTTTGAAATGCATCAAGTGAAAAGTTAATTTCCACAAACATGGCGGCTCCCGTCAACAACAGCTCTGGCTGCTGGAGAGTCCCGGAGGTTTACAAACATCACGAACAGCAGAGAGTGTGCATTTCTCGACCAAAATATAGGGAAGGAAGAAAAGCCAAAGCAGTTAAGGTAAGAGGACCCTTTTGTTTAGAAAAGAGCGTATCTTAAGGTGTGAGACACTCCCTGCTACGTGGGAACGTCACTTACAGTGTTTTTAAAAAAAACATTTGCTCTCTTCCGGATTTTATGGACTCCACTGAACCACAGTGGGAGCCTTAACCACATCTGGATGATAAATATAACCACTGTTCGCAGTTTTCACATGAGCATTTTCCCATCAGTGTACCGCAGTCAAGTGTTGCATTATTTGCAGGTTTACACCATAAATTTAGAGAGTCGTTACCTGATGGTCCAAGGGGTCCCAGCGATTGGGGTTATGACTGAGTTGATTCAGCTGTGTGCCCTCTATGGAGCTGTGGAGGAGTACAGGCCCCTGGACGAGTATCCTGCCGAGGAGTTCACAGAGGTGTACCTCGTAAAGTTCCAAAAACTCACAAGTGCCAGGTACAAGATGTCACTAGACTGTTCATTATGCCTAACTGGCAACGTCTGAAGGACCTTCTGAATAATTTGGTTTCATTTCAGAGCAGCAAAGCGACACATGGATGAGAAAAGTTTCTATGGTGGTGTGCTGCATGTGTGCTACGTCCCCGAATACGAGACTGTGGAAGACACCAGGCTCAAGCTGCAGGACCGGAGGAGCTATGTCATCCGGGCTGCTCAGAAAAGAGGTATAATTTTATGTCTATAGGTTATATTTTGCCTCACAAAATCCACCACTCTAATGAGTAGCTTCTTAGTTCCTCATTAGTCCAAGCAAACTTCAGTTAACATAAATAAGGATAAGCTTTATTTGTCAGTTGCAGTTGCCTGCAGCTGAGATGACAGACCTACAGTAGATGACAGACCTACAGTAGATGACCATACAGACAATACATAAAATATACAAACTTACATTGGGGAGACAGGTCAGACTAGGCAGCAGGAAAAAAAAGGGTAGACAGTGAAATATGTAACATATAGGGGCAAGGTCAGGAGAAAAAAAAGGTTTCTGCCCATGGTGACTCTGACAAATGAGTCATCATGAGGAGAAAACACAAAAACACTCCATAGCACATAAAGAGCAAAGATATCATCACACTATACTCCATGAAACACAGACAAGCAACATAAGGGCGGGGGTGCACCAATGTGCACAGACGCTGCGATTCTTCGTGCCTCCAGCTGAGCCACTGTCTCTGTAGACGGGGAGGTAAGCATGACAGGAGGCGTTGGATCCGGGGAGGGATATCTGCATGCACTTTTATTTTCATTTGACTCGGATCTTTTTGAATGATGTGGATTTTTGACACTTTTTTCTGTCTCATTTTATTATTGCAAAGTGAGAGAAAGGGAACAGAAAGAGGACACACAAGAGGAGCCTACTTCATCGGAAACAACTACCACGTCAGACGACAACATCCTCACACACAAACAGACCTCTGGAAATGACAATACAAGGGAGACTCCAAACATCAGCCACTATTTAGGCTTTCCTCTACTGCCATTACCTCCCCAAGAACATCATTACCATAGGCCTAAAAGTCAACATTTACCAACAGAGGATAAAATGGGGACTTTGCACAATACCTGTGCTGACACATTAGAGCAGCGAGAAGGAAGTTCAAGGAGCAAACAGACCTTATCGAGCAGACCGTCAGCACGTCAGGCTGCGGCAGTCAGATTTCTTCCTCGGACCACACATTTGGAGAAACGGAAACGCAAAATGGAAGAGGCTGAGGAGGCCTCCAGTACTGTTTCTGGGCAGAACGAGCCTTTGATTGGACCAAAACTACCAGAACCATCCAAACTGGACATGGAGGATGAGTCACTGAACACAACTGTCAGCCTGATCAGGAACACAATGAAGCAGGTACATGTGATTATATTGTTTTGGTTGTAATTAAGGACAAAATAATATTTTCACTATGCTCTAAATCACTTTTTACAGTTAATCCAGTTTCGTCGTCTCTCCTAGGTGACATCGAGTCCAGACATCAAACCAGTGGAGAAGAAGGTCAAACCACGCCGTCGGATTTGATAGAGCAGGATTTATTTTTTTTTCTTAATTAAACAAATTTTGCTTCACAGCACCGTTCCATTGAGGTTAATATTAAAGATGTTTTGGCTAGGTATGTGATTTGGTTATTGTTCGAATTGTTCCTGAAATACGTGTCCCTCAAACATCTCGATTCTCTGAAAAGAAAAAAAAAAAAGAAAAGCAGACTGTAAGATTGAGAATTTTTGATGGGGAAATTTTAAAGAGCTTAACAAATTCTCATTACAGATTACCCTGAAGTCAGGAAGGCAGGTTCCAAAAGCTTCCAGCAATAGGTTCTCATCTTTCACAGTCTTTTCAAAATCTTCAAAAGACAATTTGCCATCATGGTCATAGTCCTGTGGGAGGAAGCACCATTGGCAGAGCTGCTAAACTATTTACAGACCTGAGAATTTTTTAAATAGTGTTTTGGTTTGTTTTAATCATGTGTAAACAGTTATATCTGTGCAGCAAACAGCTCACCATCTTCTTCAGTATGATCTCCACCAGGTCTTTGATTCCTTCGTCAGGGTCCTCCTCATTGGGCTGTCTGATGAGCCTGCCCTTCAGCATATGAAGCATCTCCTCTCTAGAGATGGCATTGTCACCATTCAGGTCGTAGACAGTGAAGCAGTCTGAGCCATGCCAAACACAGGGATTTTTTTTTTTAGGTAGATAAAGCTACATGTGTGAAGGTGTGAGAGTGAGGTTAAGCAAAAAAAAGTAAGATTGAGAAGTTACATTTTATTTTTTCATCCAAGGTCCCCCGAAGAAAGACGGACAGTCCCTCGATCCACTCTTTCATGCTGACAACGCTGTCGTTGTCTTTGTCAAATGTCCTGAAGACTGAATGACAGACAGTTACACTCACAACATGTCTTGGATTTAATTATAGATTTCAATTGTTTGTACTGAAGAAACTGCTCATTCCCAACTGTACTCCTGGACAAGCGTACTGAAAGATTTAATTTAATCATTCTGAAAAAGGTGGTGGAGGTGAGAATTCTGGGTTGTACTTACAGGGTGATAGTGATGATTTGGAGATTTTGCTTACTTTCCACCATTTTATTGACATTTTACTATTTCAAAAAACAATATTGGCTCTGTTTAAATTTGATGGCACCAACATATCTCAAGACAGCTGAGAGGGCAACAGTAGGGTGCAAAACTAAGTGGTACTAAAAAAAGAAACGATGCAACTTTAGGTTAATTGGCAGCAGGTCACTGACATGAATGGATATTTTATTTTATTTTTTAAAAACATCTTGGAGAAGCAGAGTTCCTCAAAAGTAAAGATGGGCCGAGGTTTGCCAGTCTACAAAAAACTGCATCTACAGTTTATGCAAATTCGAAATGATCAAATTTACATTTTACAGAGCGTCCCACCTTTTTTTGGAACTGGGTTTGTAAATAATATAAGTTTAAATAACTGTAAACTGAATACCTCTACCCGTCATCCTGTCATCAGTAAGTCCAAAGATGCTGTGGAGTGTGCTTATGAACTTCCCTCGGTCCAGACCGTGCACAGCTCTGCCAGAGTTGTTCTGCTCCGCCACAAGGACGTTAAACTCTCGGATAAGGCACTCAACCTCTTTTTTACTGACTATAAACAGAAACACAAAAAAAAAATGGCGTACACTTCATCTGCTCTAACAATACCTAGACGGCAGTGTGTATTTTCATACCTGCTAAGTAAAACAATGAACCGTAAAGCTTAGCATGGACTGAACTACCGCTATAACAAAGCTGGCTTAGTTTATTGATTTGAGAAGTTTAACCGTCATACTCACAGTGCTCCACTTGTTTCGAAATGTTCTCAGCGAGCGTCTGTGTCGCCCGTTTGTTCATAGCAGATATTTTTGACATTTTCGATGAGGCCAGACTCGGCTACAGTCCATTCACAGGGAAGTTGATGTACTGTTGCCATGGCTACCGCGAAACGTTTACGGTAGTGTGTGTTCAAGAACCTCGACGGTTTACTACCGGTGGAAACACCGTAACTACACATCATTTTCTACTTGAATTTTTAGCGCAGTAACACAAACGAAAATATGCCTCAACACTGACTGTCCTGTATCTGTTCCACTAGAATGACAATGAACCGCTGGCTGACCAAAAACCCATTGTTTTTCTGTCTTTCCTTAGGGCTATTTATTCTCCTTCAGAATACACGTTCATTTATATACTGAACAGGTACACATGAAACATGTTAAAATGGTTTTTTAACCCATCATCAGACCAAAATCCCACATCAGGAAGAGGGCGGCTATATACTGTTTATGTTTATAATGCAGATTTGGGAAATGTTTACTGTTAGTCGCTTCAGGAACCTAATAAAAGCTTTGCTAAAATTTATATTTACCATCTAAAGTATCTTGGTGTTTGAGAAAAAGAAAAGAAAATGTGGGTGTTATGGAAGAATAGTGCAGCATTCCTTTAGTCAGATTCATCAAAGCCACGGAAATAGCTCCAACTTCTCCAAAAATATATATTTCATATATGCAATTAAATGCGTATATCTCAAAATATTAATCATTCATTTAATGTATTATAGCCCAATATTATTTATTTTAAAAATGACTTTCTCATATAAAATGTACTTGTTTTTCCAGATTGTAGCATGCTTGCAAGGCATTTTCCAATATACAGTGCCCCATTCCTGATGGGTTTGGGGGTTTTTTTGCTCCCATTTAAGTTTATGAGACAAAGCAGCAAGGCAGCTAGAGATGATTGTTTGATGGTCATTGGATGAGTCGTTAATCTGCTCTTGGAGTAATTTGAGAGGGCCGGCCACTCCTGACAAAATTCAACATAGTTTTCTGTTTGTTGATAATGGCTGGAGTCCCAAAGCACTAGAAATGGCTTTGTTGCCCTTTCCAGTCTGACAGATGTCAGCGACTTTGTTTCCCAGCAGTTTCTTTAGAGGCATGATGTGTTACTTTTTGAAAACTTTTAATCCACTTCACTTTGTCTGATAGGTTCTATTACCATGTCATTTTTTGATTCAACAGGTCTGTGATGTGGTTAAAGTGAATTCATGATTTAACAAGGAGAACTTTTTCCCTTGAATAGATTAAATCATTTAAAAACTGTTTTTTTTTAATTTACTCAAGTTATCTTTGTCTAATATTAAAATTTGTTCTGAAACATGCAAGTGTAAAGCATGTATATCTGATGATTTAAAGGGCAATTTTGAGGGTCTAATGCAAATAGATACATAACAGATATGTAAGGAGAGTACATCCACCACCAGCCCCCCACAAAATAAAAGTGCACAGTCACTTTAATTTAGTTTTTCAAGGATGATTCAACACCGTGGACCTGCTAGAGTCAGAAGTAATTTTCAACTGATGTCTCTCGGCTAGATATCATATTAGACATGAAAAATGAGTCAAGGAGAAAACAAGGACAACCTGTAATTTCTCATGACAAAAAGCTTACAGGAGCAGAAGATTAATACATTATTTTAAGCAGACAGTGTTGTGAAGCAGATATCAAACAGACCGCAGTTCTCAGAAAGAAACCTCAATGGTGAATATCTGCAGGGCACACAAAATTAGAATTACATAACTATCCAAGGCAATAATAAAAAGTAATAAAATAGTAAAGCTAATTATATAAAGACAGAATGACCGACATTTAAAAATTCACCACAAGAGCTTAGTGTTTCAGGGGAAACTATGAAACCAATAACATTTGATTCTTACAGTGTCTTGCAGATGTTTTTCAACAATTAATATTGCCTTCAAACAGCCTCTTTATACCAATAATAATGGACTTCCAGTATCTGGTGTCAACAAGAAAGGTGCAACTTAAGGAAAACCTGCGATGAGATGCAGAAATCACAAACGTTAAGACACAAAACACAGACACTTACTGTTATTCCAGCTTGAAAAAGTATTGTAAATATTGCCATCTGCTGGACACAAGTTATGAATCATGATTCATGTAGTAAATTCTTACTTGGTGAGAAATATAAAGAAGAATAGCTGATGTGACAAATAATCTTTATTTTTAGGGAAACATGGAAACAGGCCCTTTTCTTCTCACTTCTTTGCCTGTGACCGTCACTGCGCCCCCTGTCATTTGCTCAGTGTGTCGAGAATTTGTATACAGTCTGACCACAAGGTGGTAGTCAGCTATTCAGTCAAAAGAGATTAGCTGAGTGAATTCAGCTGCAAGGGCTTTCCAAATTATTTACAATAGTGATACCTAAAAAAAGATACAATTATCTGTGAAAGTCATCAGGCCTGCCTTTCTTAAATTGTCTGAAAGGGCTGAGACTGAGTTTGAAATAAAAGGAAAGACCTCCCACCCCCTTCTTACTTCATGTAATATCACAGAGAAGTCACTAAGCCAGGGCACTAATGACTCAACACTTAGATTTGTACTTCATAAACTACACTGAATAACAAAAAGTGCCTCTTTGCCAGATTAGACCCAGACTGAACCGATCCAATCCACTCCATTAAGGCAAAATATTATACCACTGCTTACACCTCCCTGTGTGTTTATGTGCCATGTACAGTATATAGTATGGACATATGAAAAACACCTGTGTGTTTAAGTGTGCATCACTGCGACAGAGAGGTAAATGTTCAGATGGCTTCCCTTCAGTCCGACCATAATAGCAACGTGCATACGAATGATTCCGCTTGAGTGCAGGATACGTCTGAGTCACTCAGACCGCCGGGTGAGGTTAGTTCTGATCGGTAGCGTTGCGTCAATCCAGTGGTTTGGATTCTCAATCATGGACATCCACACAGTGACTTCCTCTTCTGTGGAATCCATCCAGCTGACGACCTCGCCGTAACTCTGACCTGGCATTACAGAAAACCCACACGTGTGGTCATTATTTATGTTGTGGACTTTACCGCAGCTGTTTTTCTCAAAGAGGTCATGGAAACAAAAACATGTAAACACTCCCTGCATGTCCATGCACATACACTCCATTTGAAGAAGGAAAAAGGTTTAACCAACAGACTAAAATTCTGCATACAGCCATTGAGAAATCGTGACTACAACCTCCAAGCTAAAATTGACAGCAACAAACAGCCTCAGCAGTCAACAGCTCTGCCTGTGAAGAACACAACTTTGCTCAAAATCTGTCTGTAACAAAACAAATCCTTCAAAGCTGTTACTTCCCACCACTTCTCTGACATCATCTTCCTCGCAGTGAGACATAATGGAGCTGATGCTCTGCCTGCAATTTGATCTTGAGTGCTTCCCACTCCATATAAAGCACAGTAACACAATCTACAAGCAAAAAAAAAAAAAAAAAACACCATCAGTATTAAGGATAAGTACTTGAGGGAAACTAAATTGTTTTCTGTATGTCACTAGACACACCTGCTAAATCTATCTTGCAGTCTATGTGGTAGATTTCAAAAGCAACCAAGCAGACGAGGATTTTGCAACATCAATAACAGAGACGCTGCATTACTAGCGAGGTGACTTCGCTCCGATGACACGACCATATGAAATGCCTGACATGCCAGCAGGCATTAGTTCAGTATGAAGCTTTTCACTCTAAGGTTGTCTCAACTATCAGCACTATAGAAAAAAATTAGACTGGTTTTCAAGACACAATCGACAAAGCCTACTATTGAAATATGAGACAAGTGCAACAATTGCATTAATGTTCCAGCCCTGAACACAGGAAGTGCTTTCCTCCTGCAAACCTGTGAAGTATCACAGCACCCACGAGACACCATTTGAAAAGCTTAGCACAAAGACAAGGAGATCCTGTCAGAGCCTCCAGTCAACTACAGAGACAAACAACAGACAGGGAGACAAGAGGAAACAATGCAGTCCCTAATCACTTGTGGCTCTTAGATAGTATTGCAGGTAAGGATGTATCATGCAGCGATATCTTACCACTTTTCACTGTTTTTCACTAGTTATAAAAAAAATAGCCAGCACAACACGCTGACAAACTATTTACAAAAACTGTTAGAATCACCTTCGTTTATAGTCACTCTCTAGTCAGATTTATGTGTAACAGTAACCACAATCTATTCAAAAAACACAAATTATATAAATATGTGACCTACGCTGTGTCACTGCATCATTTCATGTTTGGCACCGATCACCACCTGCACTCATGTATATATCTTTCTACGTAGCACTCATAAGTCTTATTCTCATGTATATATCTCATGTATATCTCATGCACATATCTTTCTTTCTACATAGCACTTTAATTCTTATTGTTTGCACTGAAGCACCGCAGCAATTTCCTAATGTTGTAAACCTCAACATCTGGCAATAAACCCCCATTCTGATTCTGATTCTGATTATTACGATGCTGCATTACTTCTTTGTACTTCTCAGAGGTCAAGTTTTCTTTCCATATCACCTCTTCCTCTGTAACCCTAAATAGTTAGGGTCTTTTTTAATGTGATTTTCAGTTAAACTATTAAAATGTGCAATATAGATGATCTAACCAGTTCCACAGCTCAGACGGACGCCCCCGAGGACATGAGTCTTTAACCCTTCGCGTTGCCACACCGTCAGCTCAGCACAAGCCTCCCTCAAGTCGCTGGTATGGAAGCCGTCGTATACCATGGTGTGGTTGTAGGTAGGACTGATGGAGTGCTTCACCACCCGGGTCTTCTGACCACTTTGACGACTTGCATCTGGGAGTATGTAGCTTGTGGGGTGTGGAGCAAGTAAATTAGCGGGATTATTTAAAGACTCAAATTACAGGCATATGGAAATAATTCAATATTCATGAAATGCTATCACAAAGTTTTGCCCATTAGGAAGAAAAAAATAAAAAATCCAAAAAACATACATGATTTCAATTTGGCCAACCTCCCTTTCAAGGCTATCTCCTTATGCACCACTTCCACTGTGACTGCTAGTTTCCAAACTGCTCCACAGGAGTCCCATTCTGACCACCTGACCATGTGAATCTGCTATTTTTCCTTAGGTTACTTTACCATAATGTGCTTTTGATAGAAACCACCTTGTTACCATGCTTGTCTGAACATTTTTGGCCATGCCAACAAATCCTTGCTCACCACCAGCCTCATTTGCAACTTGCACATCTATCCAGTTCTCCAAAATGAAAGTTTGCCACTTAGTTTTGGAGGATATGCAGTGTATAATCACAAGTTCAGAGTGCATCTATGAAAAGTAGAGTGAAAAAATATATAGTTTTTAGGAAATGTTTTGTAGTCATGTTGGAAGCACTGCAGAGGTGCACAACGACATGACCCTGAAGGGGAGATTGACCACATTTGAATCATGTATTGCGAAAATCCCCATGAAAATACGGGGAACTCTGTAATTACTGATAAGAATGCAACATGACATGTAATGTGCTGCTTATACGTAATGACAGAGTAGATAACTGATGACAAAATATCAGGAAATGTGGTGCAGAGCTGACGCACCTTCTAACAAAGGAGTCTACAGCACCTCCTTTGTTGGACAGGAGACCCTGAGCCTCCCGAAGCCAGATGTGAACCTCTCCGGTCAGAGGCAAACCGCCACCTTAACACACACACACACACACACACAGAATGCATGAGATTCGGGTGATTGTGGTACACAGATATAACGTGCATCCGTGTTGTATTAAGGTATTTTCCTCACCTTCATATCCTTCTGGGATGTATTTAATAGAGAACATGATGTTCCCACGACTGCTAATGGAGTCTGGGCTCAGATAAACCTGTGACAGAGCGTACATAAAATAAAAAAAGATGAAGTCAGAGGAAATGACAGTATGAAAAAGAAGGAAAAAAGGAAGCAGGAGAAGTGTGGAAGCAGGGAAAGATTAAAGTTACATAAAACCTAGTTGAAATTCACAGCATGTCTTCCTCTCCCTTCAGCTCTCCCAGACACAAGAGACACCTCCCCACATTCTGTCTCCAACAAAGCTGCTGTAACTGCTGCTACAAAGACACTCAGATACTAAACAAATGTAGATGCAGGCACCACAGTGGGCTGGTAAATATTTATCTGGCACCATTCAAACACAAACACACACACTAATTTATGCAACTACAAGAGTGTGTGTTTGCATGCCACTCGTCGATGCCAGGTCCTTCCTACCCGTGGCTGCAAGTCCTGCCACAGAGGCTGTGTGCAGGTCCAATCCCAGAGCGCCAGAGTCACCTCCACCTCCCCGAGAAATACGTTCCTCCCCAGGGGCTCGGCATGCCACACAGAGAGGTTCAGGGTCCGACTCCGCAGCTCCCCGATCCGCACCTTATACTGAAAGAACATACATCATGAGTGTGTTTTTGTTATTTAGGTAACTGTAGTTAAATGATGGTGGGGGATTTCTGTGATTGACACTTTATGTAACATGTAAATGACAGAGAGTCTCACTCTGAGTGTCTGATCATAAACTGGGTTTAGGGTCTTCTTCTTCACTGAAGTCTTCTTCTTACTGTGATTTGACTTGTCCGGCAGGAGGTAGGTTTTAACATATCTGTGAAAAACACACATCCATTGCTAGACTGGCTCCATATGGGCCCGGATCACATCACATGCATGCAAACATGCAGTCACTTACGGGTCAGACCGGTTCTTGCGTGCTGCAGCAATGTCCTCACAACGATACACTTTGACCTGCAGCTCCTCCCTCTGGCTGTTGTAAGCCAATGAGTACTGGATACGGCCCCTCACCTCAACCACTCCGAAATCCCCCGAGCTGAACAGACTCATCATGCTACCGCTGAGCTATAACACATACGCAAAGGAAAGATCAGCTCCTACGTCATTGTCCTGAGCTGAGTCATCTTGCGTCGCCAAATAGGCAATTAATCAAATGTGTGTGCGTGCATGCAAGTATGCTGTGCGTGTGTATGTGCATGTACCACGTAGCCTGAATGAAGACTGTTGGTGGAGCTGCTAGTTCTCAGAGAAGAAGGATCCGTCTCTGTCAGGCTGCTCAGCGAGTCAGTGTCCCCATTACAGTTGTCAATCAAGTCTTCCTAAACACACACACACACACACACACACTCACAGTTCTTATGCAGCGTTATAATTAGACACAAAACATCTGTCATAAACTTTTAGTATACTTTGAAGGAGTTTTTAATGGGTAAAAGTGGCATCCCAACCACCCACACACACACACACACGAACATGCACACACACTCAATACACCATAATAATGCCTCATTTACAAAAGTACCCAGAGCCATAATTTACCACTCAGTAGAAGCCCCTCTGGCTGCAATAACAGATTTCAGTCTTCTTGGATAACTCTGTACTGGCTTCACACATCTAGATTATTTCTGATATTATTTTTTAGAAGATTCCTTCAAACTCATCAGACCGGATCGAGAAAGCATCCATCAACCCGTTTGCTGCCTTCTCCGTGCAGATCTCATTTTACCTTGGACAATCCAGACTGCCAGAAAACACTCCTGAGTAATACTGATTCACTGATATGCTGAAAGGTGATGTGTTTATCCCCATGTCAGGTTGCTTCTTTAGTGTCCTCTATCTTTGATTGTATTCAGCCTTCCCTCAGCTTTGTCCAGCTGACAAATAACCCAAAGAGTTTTCCATCTTCAGATTTTATCCTTTACTCCGTGCTCCATGGAGAGTAGCTAAATTCTGGTCTCATCAGAGAATCTTTTTCCTCCTGCTCTTGAAGACTTGAAGTTTCTGGTTGTATAAGCCAGGTAAGTTCAGAACATCCACTCTGTTACTCTACAGGTAATCAGAGGGGGAGTGGGGCTGCTTTAAGTCTCATCTATAGTATTTGTATAGCGCTTCACTTAGTCCCTATGGACCCCAAAGCACTTTACACTACATTCAGTCATCCACCCATTCACACACTGGTGATGGTAACATTGTAGCCACAGCTGTCCTGGGGCGCACTGACAGAGGCAAGGACACTGACGCCACCGGGCCCTCTGACCACCACCAGTAGGCAACCAGTAGGCAACGGGTGAACTGTCTTGCCCAAGGACACAACGACCGAGACCGTCGGAGCCGGGGCTCGAACCGGCAACCTTCCGGTTACAAGACAAACTGCCAACTCTTGAGCCACGATCGCCCACATGATGGGCAACCCATCATTCGGACTATCCTCCACACATCATCAATCTGAACCGTGGTCTGAGTAACCCTCGTCACTCAGGCTACTCACATATGGACTCTATACTCAGACCAAGTCTTTTGCACTACTAAGCAAGCACTTCTCCTGTTTTGCATATATCTTGATTGATAATGTCTCCTCATTTCTTGTTTGTTGCTAGAAAAAATGGAAATAGGTGCAGGAACTAAATGAAACATACAAACATGTTTGGAAAAAAGTATAGAAGGGAAAAACAGTGTTAATACAATACTAATAACATTAGAAGTCAGCATTTCGTACGATCACCTTTATTCTTCAGCGCAGTCTCAACTCTCTCAGACAAGCTTCTTTTGTCTTATCAAGTAATCTTGTGGAATAGTTCTCTAGGCTTCCTAAAGGACGTCCAGGGCTCTTCTTTGGATCTTGGCTGCCTTTTGTTCTGTTCTCCGTCAAGATGATCTCACAATACTTCAATAACGTTGAAGTCCCTGTCTGGGGAGGCCACTCCATGACTGATAGCTTCCCATTGTTTGTTTTTCTATCCATGTATGCTTTTACTGCATTAGCAGCATGGTTGAGGTCATTATTATGCTGAAAAATGAAACTGTTACCAATCAGTTGCTTTAAAGAAGGTATTAAATGGTGGATCCAAATCTGATGGTACTTTTATTTGCTCATAATTCAAATAAATAATAATGATTCAAATCTCCAACACCACTGGCTGCCATACAGTCCCAACTAAGACAAATGCTCCACTGTTTTTTACAGATTTAAATGACAAATTTCCACTGATTTTCAGTTCAGCACTTGAGCTTTTTCTCCCCGTTTCCCTTCCTTAAGAATGGCTACTTGACAGCCACCTCTCTACTGAGACCATTTGTGATGAGGCTTCAGTAAACAGTAAACAGATCAACTGAAGGGCCAGTTTGTTTAGTTATTTATTGCTAAATAGTCTGTATGTATTCATGTAGATTAATCACTTGTTCATCCATTGAATTAGGTGCAGTTATTTATCCAAAAACTAACCAAGAAAACAATCCTCTGAAAATGGTCAGACTGATAAAAAATGACTGAAAAAGCACCCAAAGAAAAACTTTGAAAGACCTTCAGAAAGCCTTGAGAACTGGTGCTCAAAACAACTAAAAAAAAAAAACTACAAGAAAGTCCGACTTCTTGGAAGCAAAATATAAAGAAATGAAAGGTGGTTCAAGACTTTTGCAGAGTACTGCAGTTTTGCTAAGTTTGCTGATAAAACTGATTCTCTATATGCTGCACGAGTCTAGCTGAGTCCCTCTTTTCCTTTGCTCGCAACTGTAACACAGCCTCCTGAGAACCATTGCAATGAGTCTGAAATTTTAACAAATGAGACATTTTGATTTATCGAGTAAAAACTGATTGTAAGTGATGACTGATTTGATCAATATATAATTAAATACACAACAAAAACTGCGCAACTTTCTGGAGCCACTGTATGAAAATGATCGTTGAAGTACTGCATTGGCTCTTTTTTGGATTTATACACTGAAAAAATGACAAATATTGACTCAGTGTCTTTGAATAGGAGGTACAATAAAGACCAATTCAACAGTGTTTGCCAGAACCATTAGTCATGGTAATCTGTGGGTGTGTGGTATAATCACCTCAGGTTCCTCCAATTGGCCGTTACTTCTGGTTTCACATTCTGTGAGCACAACATTGAGTTAATAACATTACTGAGGGATGGCTAGAGAGGCACAGACACAGCGGGGGAGGAATTTCATACCTTTGGATGATGAGGAGCTGTTACTGTGCTGGAGACCCTGTAAATTATTTGTATTTACATGGTTATTAGGACAAGAATGGAAAAAGGGGAAGAAGAATGAACGCACAAACCTGTGACACGGGTCCGTTTACTGTGGATGTGGGTACCGGTTTCAAACTCTGAGTCCTGAAAACAAATATTGGGAGATGTAGCAGCAGATAAATGTTACAATCAGTCCGTTTGTCTCACAGTCATCCCCACAAACCCTTCAGTTTCTTCCTGGTTGCTGTCCTTCACACGTCCTTCAGTCTCGAGTAAAGTGTTGTTGTTGTCCTCTCGCTCTATGTTGAAAAGTCCATTCAGGGACACATCTGTCAGCAATCACAGACAGTAAACACAGACAGACAGAAAACAGTCCTGCTGATCGCTGACAGTTGTACTACATGAACTGAAAACTGACCTCTGCTCTTTGTCTTCCTGTGGCGGATGGTGGCGTGGACCAGGTCGCAGCCCGAAGTCCAGTTGAGATGGCGTTTGCTACACTCCTCGCTGAACCACGCCCCTGACAGGAAGCGCAGACGGGTTGAGTTCGTCTCTCTCTGCTCGAGGGTTCTGCATCATCAACAGAGAGACACTCTTTGTAACACCTGATATTCAAAGCAGCTTAATTAAAAGTTATGGCAAAAAAATTGATAAAAACATGTGACGAAGGGTAAGGAAATAATTATAATTGATCACCAACTGTGTCTTACTTGACCTGAACACTAAAGGGAGATTTTGCACCAACACCAAAGAAAGTAATATATGCCTGAGGACCAATCCCACCCATACGGTTACAAACATCCGAAGAGATTAGCACACATATCAGTCAGACTTGAATAAATAGTCACCTCTGACCTTACACGTCCTTCATCACGGCGACGTAACTCCAAGTCACGCTGTACAACCTGCAGGATGGAGGTCTGCTCCTCCTCCGTCAGGTGGCTCAAGTCAAGTGAGGAGTCTCCCTGCTTTCCTTCCATCCCTAAGACAAAAGTGTGTTTGACTATCATTACACAACACAAATAGTGCAGTACAGTACAGTCAACAGTACAGTCTTACTGCTTTCATTAGACATTGAGATTAGAACATAACATGAATGTGCAATATATCAGGTTCATTATAATACATTTAAAATCCACTGTTCTACAAAAACTTTTGTTTCTTTTTCTTCATTTCAGTGCATTGAAAAAAGGAAATTCTGCAAACTAGCCTTCCAGATTTTTTTTCCTCTTAACAGTAATGAAGGTTTGTCTGATTAAAGTCATTTGAAAGAGAAAGTTCACATTCCTATAAAACACTAAGTACATCTTGCTGTTCCCATTGGAATTAAGAAGGTAATCAGCAGCCAGGTCCTGCTAATCAAATGCACTTCATTTATGATTATCAGTAAGTGTGAGTGCCTCTTTAAAAGCACAAGTTTGGGAAGTCTGCTGCTCTTTACTTCTATGCTAACACAATGCCACGTTCTTCACTGGAGTGGATGTCCCATCAAATTAAGTTCAAGGTCAGGCCATGTAATGCTCAGAGAAACTGCAGAAAACCCAAGAGCTACAGCCACAGTTAGCATGTTAAATGTTAAATTCATGACGGTGTTAAACAGGACATATCTTCTTATCTCTAAGAAGAACGTGGCAGCACAGATTAGGTTTGCAAAGTTCTAAATAAACCACAAGACCTCTGAAACAATGTCCTTTAAAGAGACAACGCCAAAGTGTTTAGCCACGATGCACAGCACTACTGTCACGCCCTAGCAAACTTTGCGTGTGTGTCCTGTTTTCCTTTCCTTCTGACTTCAGCTGCCACCCATTTCTTCTGAGGAGCTGGTGCACAGCTGGCTCCACTCAGCAATTAACCACCCACCTGCATAAAAGCTGGTGACGGCCCACTTAGTCACTCAGAGTGAGTGCTGTGGTGAGCTTAGGTGTGGGGTTTGAGGTATCAGTGAGTAGCTGTTTCCCCCCCAGCTGCAAATTACTGGTTTTAGGTGTACTGTTACAGAGCATTTAGTGGTGTGTTTGAGCTACCAGTGTGTAGCTGCTGACAGCAGCAGTGTTTTTCTTTGGTTTGTTAATGATTTCCTTTCTTTTCAGCGTGTTTTAGTTTGTTGACATATTTGTTTGATTGTTATAGTGTAGCCATCTCTTTAAGTCCTTTTTAATAAAGGTTTTTTATCTTTTCTTTTTCCTCCTGGACTTACTATTGTTACTCCTCATCCCCTTGGCCCTTTTGGGGGACATGACAACCAAACACCTCATACTAGCTGTCAGCAGGTGGTGAAGTGGGGGGATGTTTTGGGCGTGGTTCTCAGCCACAGGACCTGGGCACCTCACAGTCATTGAGCTGACCATGAGCCCCTTTGTATAACCAAAATATTCATGTCAAATATAGCAAATCTACAGCAGAACAACTGAAAAGGAAATGAATCGAGGTGATGCAATGGCCCAGTCAAAGTCTAGACCTTAACCTGATTGAAATGTTGTGGCGACACAGCTGTGCATCAAAGAGAGCCTGCAAACCACAATAAGTTGAAGCAATGCTGATGATGTTGTGTAAGAAGAGTGGACCGAATTCATCCACATATGTTGACCCTTTGTGGGGGAATAAGTCACACAGAAATAATCACCTCAAGTTAATACTGCTAAAGGTATTTCTACAAGTGGTTTAATCATAGGGTGTACTTTTTGTTTTTAAAGGACTGAGCCGAGTCCTGTAAACTTTTTTTTCCCCCACATGTAAAATTTGGTTAATGATGACATTACTTTGCTCAGAGAGGTCTGAAGGTTACAAACTGCACAAATTGTCATTTACATGAAACATAGTAGAGAAATGCTTAAGAGGAAACCTATAATAAAGCTGTTTCTTTTTTTCTTTAAATCACCTGAAGCGAGCTCCCTGGTATCTTTCAGGATGCAGTACTCTTTGAAGCTTTGATACATGCTGTTCCAGGTGAGCCTTTCCTGTCTTCAATGACTTTCACTCCCTCCTACTCTTAAGTACTCTACTGTAGACAGCCTAAAAAACTACATTCAAAAAGATTAATAACAACCTACTACTGAATTCACTTTCAGCTAATGTGAGGCCGAGATGGATGATCTAACCTTCTGCACCACCATGTAATAACTGTTAATGAGTTTTCATGTCCCCAACGCCTAAGGCTAGTTACTTTTGAGAAGTTAACGCATGCGCGTCAGGAACGTGTTCGCCTGTCAACGGGTAGGTTAGAAAACGCCACGCACAAAGTGCTCCAGTTTTCACAAAACACGCCGAGTAATATTAATAACAACGTTGTTGTTCTTATCAATAATTCCTCCATAAAGCACTCCTTTGGTGTTTTTTATTGTTATATAGGTTTAAACCTCTAAAAGTGACTGAACACTTGTTATTAAGACTGTTAATGGGTTTAATTATTTAGGCTTATTTATTTACGCGAAGTGCCCTTTAGGGGGAAAAGAAATAGGTCAGTGCACTTCTTCTCATTACGAATCTACCGCGAGAGAGGAAACACCTGTCGCAACTTTTCCCTTTAAAGATTAAAGATTAAACTCTCTCCTCTCCCTTCTGTTAGAAACACAGAAAGAAACACACGAAAGAAAAACCGGGTTACCTTATTTGACAGCTTCCACTGGTTCCATCGGGGGGAAAAGTTCTCAGGAAAAGTTTTCCTCAGTGCGATGTGTTTGTCTGTGTACGTCGACGCTTGTGTGCTGAGTAAACGGAGTGAACACGCCCTCCAGAATTAGTCCGCACAGGAGCTGCTCTCAGCTGTGAAGGTGTGTGTGTGTGTGTGTGCGCGCGCGTGCTGATACTGTGTATTTGTCTGACTGTGTGATATGACTCACGCGGATGTTTTACCAAACTGCAGGGTGGAGGTGGGATGTATCTTGTAGCTGTCCACACCTGCTAAGCACACACACTCTTGCCTACCTGGCCTTACTGTGCACAAACAAGCACGCAGATATCGAGCCTTCTGCCTGTTTTGAAGAGGAACACAGACCCATACGTGTAACCAGCCTCGGTTTGAATTTGGTAAGGTGTTGGACTTCCCTTTCCCTCAGTGGAACTGCATTGTGTGAGTGTGTGCAAGGCAGAGGGGGGAGGGTAGGAGAGGATGAAAGAAAGAAAAAGGCCCAGTTCTGTCCTTTGTCACCAAACTTGGATGACAGCCACAGTCTCCTCAGATGGGGAAAGCTTTTTTGTGTGGACTTATTCAAGCCTGTATAGGTCCTGGCTCAGACAGAGACCAAAGCATCCAACCAGCCCTCGCTCTGCTCCCCTAAAGAGTCCCATCAGTGCTCTGTTAGTGCCAAATACTGGGGTCCATACTGACACCCAGATATGGTACATGGACAGGTCATTTTTATTAACAGGTCCTTGGTCTTAAGCAGATCATAGTTCAGTTCTTCTGTCCAGTTCTATTTTATTTATATAGTGCTGAATCACACCTCGGACGCCTCAAGCTGCTTCATATTTAAGGTGAAAACCCAAACAATCACATGACCCTTGTGAGAACATGGTAACAGTGGGGAGGAAAGAAATCCCTTTTAACAGGAAGAAACCTCCAGGGGAACCAGGCTCAGGGAGGGGCAGACATCTGCAGTGACCATTTGGGGGTTATGAGGGGAGGAAATGGAGAAAATAATGATTAATAACTAATGATTAAATGCAAAGTGGTGTTAAGGTGAGTGAATAATAGGAAGTCCTCAGCAGCCTAGACCTAACTAGGGGAGGTTTCAGGGTCACCCGATCCAACCCTGATTATATGCTTTATCAAAAAGGGTCGTTTTAAGCCTGATTTAAAAACTATGGGGGCTGTCTGTGCCCTGAATCCAAACTATGAGCTGGTTCTACAGAAGAGGGGCATGAAGCTGCAGACTCTGCCTCCTGTTCTACCTTTAAGTACTCAGGAACCACGAGTTGTGTTTGCATATTTAAATGCAAGAAAGCAAAGACATACCAAACACACTGAGAGACACCTCTTCTTATTCCTAGTTTATTCAGGAAATCCAGTGTCATCACAAAAAAATCAAACAGCTCATATTAATGAGTTTAACCAACATTAGTATTATTTAAACAGGATCACGTCTATGTCACCTGTTTTATAACAGCAATCAAATGGTTCAAACTTTATTATAAATCTGAGAAATCAAGTCAGAGTTCTTCTACCACGTTGGGTTTGTCTGAACTACTGACAGTAAGAGCATCAAAATAAAAGTAATGCACCACTAGAGTCATTACTGGAGGTTTTTATAAAGATTGAAATCCTGACTCTGCTATTAGGGCTCAGGTTTTAGGTTATGGTGTGTCTTTCTCAGTGGTTCACAGGTTGTTATCACAGTTGTTATCTCTAACACTTCCTTTCCATCAGTGAGGTGCAGGTGTCCGAGCTGTAGCTTATTTTTTTCCCCACTAAAATAAGACTGGCAGTAGCAGGCCACCATAAAACAGCCGACCCCAAAGCTGGAAGCAGTGATGTCAGTGGTTATACAAGGACCTGTTGAAAATGTTTAAACAATAACTGGTGAATGAAGCAGCCTGCATGATTTTCTTCTCATGGAAATAGAAGAAGCATCACTGCTAGTAAAGCTATGTAATCACTCCTCAAACCATTTAAAATGTAGGATTACTTTTTTTTTCTTTCAAAAGGCACCAAAGGAAGGCGTCTCCCTGCATCCGCAGCAGCACCAACACTCACTGCAACTTGACGGAAAGAGGTATAACAGCCTGTGAGTAGACTTTAGGACCTTAGTTACTATATTTATATTATATTAATCAATAATTTCATACATTACAGGTTAACATTTGGTTATTTTTGTTTAAAAAAAAACTCTAGAAAGTTATCAAAATGCACATGAACAGAAATGTACTCAAAGACGATGGATAAAATGTTTGTTGTCTGAACTACAGCCTAAATTTAATAATATAACTGCACCACACTATTTATAACAGTATAAACACCTAAATTACTGTAATTTAAGGTGGAAGGTGAATTGTATGATCACAAAGCAGTTGCATAAAATTCTGCAGAAATCAAAGTCTTGCTTGATCGTGCATCTAACACACTGATCGTGAACTGTAAATACTGCAGTGAGCTCATGCACAGACACTTGTTACACAATGCAGTATTTTGGGAATATGTCCTCGTACAAACACACCCATCCCCCAGGGGGTACACACAGGGACCAGACCAAAAAAACGACAGGGGGAAAAAGGGAGAGGAAAAAAAATTCTTGTCGTCATAACCAGATGAGTCACCGTTCTGCTGTCCTTCTCTGCACCGTCTGCTTGTCCGTCATTTATCTTGTCTTCACTGTGGCTGCTCTCTGCATGAAGACAGACAGAAGAGTGTGTATAGACAGATGGAAAGTGTGTGTGATCAGAATCAAAACAAGACAGGCAGAGATGCTGAAGGTGAACCGTTTGCGCTGTGCATCGTGTGTTGTTGACGATTCCTGCCACCAGAGGCTGCTGTTGCACTTAACACGTTTCGCACAAACGCGTGAGATTCTGTGTTCTCCAACACCTCCGCGCATAAACTCACATGGGGTCGTAGCTGCTCTGCTCTTTGGATTTGAGGAAGCGCATGGCGAAGAATCCGCCTGCCTGCAGACACAGCACGAGTATGATGCCGCCTATGAAGCTGGACATGTCGAACTTGGCCTGGGAGAACTCGGGGGAGGAGTTGGTGTTGCTGTCATCACCTTGAGGGAAAGGACACAGAATTCACTGGTTGTTTTATATATATATATTTATAAAGTGCTGACAGGGTTTTTAGCGGGTGGAGATGACTGGATTGCCTTTAGGGAATCTTTTAGTCAGCTGTTATGGGACTAGGAGATGACGTCTGAAGCAGAGTTGATTCAGTTTACCTGAAACGGTTTTACCACCTCCCGCAGCGACAGACTCTACAACTGGGGAATGAATTATGTAACAGGGTTATGAAGATGGCAGAAAAACACTTGATATCATCCCCCCCCAAAATTATGTTCATTTTTTTAATACCTGTGCACAATTCAGACACTCTGGTCCAGCTGCAGTTCATGCCGTTGTCTGCCGAATCCCCTTCATCGGTCACACACATGCCTGTATCATTGCCTGAGGGAGACAGACCCCGGCATCACTCAATAATTCAGTGATCTTCTACAAACCAGGGGAGCTAGTGTTACAGCAGCATTGGTGATTGAATTACTATCAGAGGTCACGTGTGTGTGTGTGTGTGTGTGTGTGTGTGTGTGTGTGTGTGTGTGTGTGTGTGTGTGTGTGTGTGTGTGTGTGTCACCATTTGGACAAAGCCTCCAGACACAGCCTGTCAGGTTGAGCATGGAATCGCCGACACACAGGTCACATGACTCGGCTTGAGAACAATCTGTAGGAGGGACAACACTGGCAGTTAATTAGCAGTGTCAATCAAAACCCAGCTGGCTGGCCAGTGCCCAGTTATTCTGAAGCAGCTTCATTATTATATGATATCCTGTTAGTTTGGACAGTATCTGAGAATGCAGAAGTTTATGATGATAAGAAAAAGATAATTGCTTCCTGTTAAACTCTCTTATTTGTGCTGCTTCGTGGTGTGTTAGTAATAATAGACAAAAAGCCATCTTACCAGTAAATAAGAAGTGAGACATTAATGAGGAAAGACAACAGATTAAAGCACGAAAATAGACAGCAGATGGCAAGCTTAGGAAGACACACAAGCAGGTTCAGAGCAAAATATACTGAAATGGACACGCTGTAAGAAAATAAAACATACGGATAGACCCATACCTGGCTGTAGATACACAGAATGGATCACTGCTAGAAGCAGCAGAGTGGAGGAGAGAACAGTAAATGCCACCAGCTGCATCCTGACTGCAACAGACACCTGCGAGCAACACCTGGAAACGTTGGCACTTAAAAGGGAGTTGATTTTAAAAACTAAAAAAAGGCTTTGAATTGAAGTCTCCTCAGCTTGTCCTCGAAAGGGTTTCTGGAGGTGATGATAACCAGGACACAATGGCAGATAGGAGTGAGGAGATCTGTGTAACATGAGCGCCACTAAACTTGGTTCCCTGGCAACCAACTGGCCCACCTCAAGCCACCTGAAATGCATGCCAGTTGGAACGGACTGACACCTGTTTACCTAAGCAGGCGGTGAATGTATACACACACCTTCATTCACATATATGTCCTTATGAAGCCTATAAATTAAAGAAGGACTAATGGGAATAAACTGAGCTAAATTAGTGTTCATTTTGATGTTACCTGCACTTAAACGCATGACAAGGTTCTTTGTTTTCCCTGTTGGAACTCTGGATTTAGTGATGTGGTTGCCTACTTTGTTAAATTTTCTAAAATCCATGTTGTGGGGACCTTGAATGTCTACGCTTCCGTTAAACAGATGTTGATATTTCAACATCATGAAAAGGGTGATCATCAAAGTCACTTGCAGTCAGCTTCATCGGCACCAAATGTCATGTGATGCCCATGAAGATATCAAGAATAAAATAGCTGAAAAATGCTGCTGACCTTTTAAACCTGAGGTTTATGATGCTATTGTAGCTAAAATTCATTCCTTCAATGTCTTTTGTGACTTACTGAGATTCTTTTATCTACCCAGATCCCCCAAAACATTCAAAAAATGAACAGCTTCAAAAATGAATTCATGCTAATTCATGTTATTCATACTTACAGCAATACAAGTCAAGTAGAGGAAGGTTTAATAGACCTTGATCTAGATATAACAAGAGCTAATAAGGTCTTCATATCCCTTTAAAGATTTCCAACAGGCTTCTGCTAAAAAAGTACATTGGCTTTTCATCTATTCTATACTCACATTTTTACCTCGGTGATGAAATTAAGATTTCTTTTTTAAACTTTTTTACTGTATACCTTTTAAGCATCACCACCCACCTATTGATAGAATATGTTTCTTGTACTTTATCTGTGCAAATAAATATAAAATATCCTAGATAAATGTAAAGAAAGAGACAAAGAAAACCATTGTAACGCTCTGTGACACTAGCCTAGATCGGGATGTTTGTAGTAATGTTACTCTTAATGTGTGATTAGTTGTAAAAGCTGAAGAGGTTACAGTTAAATCGCACATTCCTATTGGTAAAGCTGGATCTGGATGTAAAGGACCAGACGTGAGTATTGAGCATTACTGTTTGAAACTACAGTGAAGTCCATATGGGATTTTGGACAATGACACATTTTCTGTTTATCTACAAATCACGGCAGTATGTTTTGTTTTTTAATCCAACAATCCAGATGTAAATGAGGGGCAGACTTTGAGCTTTACTTCAAGTGGTTTAACAAAAGTATTACATGATATAAGCAGTTTCAACAGCAATTAAGCAATGTTTCCTGGTTATTCCATGACAAATCAGGCTGGTGAGAGACCTGGAGTTGATTCCAAGTGTTGAGCTCTGTAGATTTTCAGCAGAACTCTCAACATGAGGTCCAAAGAGACATAGATGTAGGTGATGGAGGTAAGGCTGAAAAACCAAATAGTCTTGTTAGAGAAATAGCAAAATCCTTATAGGACAGGACAAATCAACAACTGACATTCTCGGCTACACAAAAAGGCCTGAAAAGCAAAAAAAACCCCTCATCTGATTAAGAAAAACCCTTCACATCATCTAAAGACAGAGAATCTGTCCATGATGCCCAGGTGTTCTAGACTTCAGACTGTTTCATGTTCGTTAAACCATTTGATGTAAAGCTCAGACTCTGCATCTGAATCACATCCTGGTTGTTTGATTTTAAAGCGACTGTGATGTACAGAAAGGCAACATTACAAAAAATTGCGTCATTTCCAAAAACCTGTGGCGCATGGGGTTAGCTCAGAGTACAAAGGTGCTCAGGTTTTGCTTTTTATAAGAGGCTCCACAACGTGCAGCTGGGCAAATGCATCAGCACAAACTGCACAAGTGCTTCCGAACTTTTAAGTTGTCGCTTTGTGATGCAGATGCACTGAGTCACAGCCCCCAATCAGGCCGCAGGGGGGGGGAAACGTGCAGGATCACGACAAAACTTTGCAGCTTTATGCAATGATCGCCACCTCCTCCACTCACACCGACGGGGCTCCTTTAACTCCCACATCTCATATGCTCTGGCACCCATTGCCTGGATAGATCTTTCTTCAGAGTGGCTCGTGTGTGTTAGGAAGCAAAGAAAACACACACACAAAGGGATATTCCGCAATCTTGTTCCACACGATTTCCTCCTCCGCTGTGGGCAAGCAATCTACAACACCGGCCACAGACTAGTTTACACTCCACGGAGCACTGCTAGTATTAGAAAAGATATACATGACATAATAACATAAAGGACAGGGTGGCACGCACACACAAATAATCTATAATTATTAAGTGTTTTACATTAATGTAAAGCACAGTTAATATTTTAACAAAATAGTTTAATGCTGTGTAAAAAGAAGTGGGTAACATGAGCAGAGCAGCCGTGATTCTGCAGAAATTTGTAGAAGCTGCTTAATACCGGCGACATTTACGAAGGTGACAAGTGTTGCGCCTCAACTCAGCTCGGTGACGTAGGAGGGGTGTATCGACAGGAAGCGTGTCCTAATATGGCTCGAACAAGACGAGATTCCCCCAGTTAGCTCAGCGCCGTGCGCCACCACGCAGACAGCTGTTGAGCCCAGCCTGTAGCGTCCTACGCTTCGTGTCAAACCGGGGGAAGCCACGAATCCCCTGCTGCTGTATTACTGTAGGGGAGGTGGGGGTGTGTATTTCTGTGAAGCGATACTAAAAATCAAAAAAAGACGAGACAAATACGGTGGATAACAAGCAAAATATACGACTGATTCCTGTCTTTGCTGGATTGTAGGAAAACTCTCACCACCCACGGCCTAAACACAAATGCTCAATCCTCTTAGAAGATTTCTAAATGATTATGAGGCTGTGCGAGGCTCATAAAGACAAGTTATATCTATATATCTATTTATCTTTCTACATATATAATATGTATGTATGCTGATGTTATTTTGAAAACAGTTTTAGTGTATAATACTTCTTGAATTTTACCCAGCACTCCATATTAGTATACCCATATCTCTGTTAGTGCAACCATGCACGCACAGGCCAGTTTTTCACCACTTCACCCTCAAGAATATTTCACCTATGTGCTTTACATAAATTTAAATTGTGTTTAAAAGAGTTCAGTGTGTGCTAAAGCTGCTCCCCATCATTCGTTCATTCAGCAGGCTCTCTGTCTACCTGTACGACATCTCCCCATGAGTCATACTCTGAGATTCAGCACCGTGGACAGCGCCAGCGCTTTGCGTTGTGCGCTCACAGCTGCCAAGTTCCAGCCCTGCCCAACACAAACTCCTATCCTCACCTTCAGCAAGGGGTCTGGGTCTTATTGAGAAAACGTGTGTGTCCGTCGATGGTCGTTATTTACAAGAAATGAAAGCATTAGCGAGCCGCAGTGGGAGGGGCGACGGGGCTCTGCCGCATTTTTCTGAATGAAATTACTCCATGGACGTCCCCTCCCACTTCTCCCCGCATCCCTGGCGCCGTCCCTTGATTGGTCGAGGCTCCCAGTCACTGACGTCAGACAGACTCTTGTGGATGAGCCCGCGCGCAAGAACATTCATTCTGCCTCCAGTGAGCGATTCGGGGAGCTTGAAGAAGGAGAGATGCAAGCGACGCCAGGTGAGAGTTTGGCGCAACTTTGGTGAAGACGGGAACGCGGAGCTGCGTCTACACGGGAACCGTGTAGCTGTCGAGCCTCACCGCGAACAGCCTCACCTCGGCTCCATCACCTGTGCTGGATCTTACAGGAGAAAGAGAGAAAAAAATCAGTGTGACTCCCTCAGAGGACTGACTCGTTTAAATAAGGTGAGAGGAATTTAGTACATGCTTGTAAACGTGTCTCGGTACGTGCATGTGTTGGGGGACACGCTCTACGGTGCAGTGAACCCGCATTTGTATGATACTTAAGGGTCCCCTGCGTCAGGAGGTGGGATATACCTCCTCACTGTGGGAACGGAGAAAGAGCGCGGGGTAGGGGGGGGACTCAGTGCCCGAGGAGCGCAGAAATAATGCGCTAATAACGTTCCTGCAGGACGTCCAGTTTGTTTTCATGTGTGCGAGCAGATAACTGATAAGATCCTTACCGCGCAGATTTTCTCGTGCATGCATGTTGCACGTAGAATTTATTCGAGGTTCTGCGCCTCTGCTGTGCGGCATCACGAGGAAAACCCAGACTGTGGCTTACATAATCGAGTTTACATATAGCCACGCGCACATATGCCTTAAACTGTAATCCTATTTTAAAATGATGCCGTTCATTCATTCTTTTCAGTGGGCAGCAAATGAGAGCCCACCTTTTACAGTCACGTGTTAGCCTGGTGATTAATTAAATATTATATATCTATCCCAAATCATTCAAAATACATAGCCTATTGGTTGACTGGAAGTTTCGCTCCTTCCCACAAGACTTCCAGTCACGAGATGAATCTCGTGACGTCCCAAAATACAAACACATAGATTTGGGTAACTGTTAAAAAAAAATTGAAAAAAAGTGATAATTTTTAAAGAAATAAAACCTTATATGGGCTTTCAAAACTACCTTTTTCTACATAGCTATTGGAAAGTAGTTTTTTGTGTTGTTTTCCCAAAATGGAGCAGGTAATGATATCACAAAGAGCAGGAGAACACAACATCTGAAGGTCTTATAGTGGTAGGATGGTTTCTCAATAGCTCAGCCGTGTTGGATTACAAGATTATAGCATTTGAAGCAGCGCATTAGCACATCAAGTGCTCTTCTGCTCTGTGTGATGCTACAGCCTGCATCCTGTGGCTCAAACCACACCAGCTTCTGTTTCTGGAAATGCTGTTCGATGGACATGTGGTAGTGACTCATCTTTCTGATAGTAACGTATTTCTCAATTTTTTCTCTCTCCTTTAGGTTTTATTGGTGTGACTGCTGAACCAAACAATGATCCTGAACGCCACAGACTTGGGCTGGGATTCTGAATCCTCAGGTGCAGAGCCCATCATCCCATCAGACCAACTGGGAAGGTCATCTGCTTATGAACTCCCACCTCTCACAGCGTGGGGCGTGGCCCTCTGTGTTTCAGGGACCCTCATTGCGACTGAGAATGCCATCGTAGTCACCACCATCCTGGCCACCTCATCTCTTCGTGCCCCTGTCTTCCTGCTGCTTGCCAGCCTTGGTATGGCTGATCTTCTGGCTGGTGTGGCGCTGATTCTGCACTTCCTCTTCATGTTCTGTGTGGAGCCCAGTGATTGGTCAGAACTGCTGACCTCAGGACTACTGGTGACATCACTGACTGCCTCCCTCTGTAGCCTAATGGGTGTTGCCCTGGACAGGTATCTGTCTCTGAGCCACGCCCTCACCTACGGCTCAGGCCAGTCACGGCGGAGAGCCGCCATCCTCCTGCTGCTGGTCTGGTTGGGTGCATGCATGATTGGGGCGGGGCCAGCAATGGGATGGCACTGTCTTGAAGACCCAAATTCCTGTTCTGTAGCACGACCTCTGACCCGGACATATCTATCGCTGCTGTGTGGGGGCTTCCTAGTGGTTGTAATGGTAACCCTGCAATTGTACGCCGGGATCTGCCGTGTCGCTAGGCGGCATGCCCATGCCATCGCTACCCAAAGGCATTTCCTCCCTTCCAATCAGTCATATGCAAGCAAGCACGGCAGCGGGAGAGGTTTCTCTAGGTTGCTCCTGGTCCTCAGTGTGTTTGTGGGCTGCTGGATGCCCTTCTCCCTCTGGGGGCTGCTGGGAGATGCGTCCAGCCCTCCTCTGTACACCTATGCCACCTTGGTGCCAGCTGCAGGCAGCTCCCTACTAAACCCCATTCTCTACAGTCTGAGACACAAAGACATTCGCAAGGTGCTGCTCCACGCCTGCTGCCCACACAGATACTCGCACAGCACACACATACACTACCCTGTTGATGTGTAAACTGCCAAACCTCAGCAGACTCAACCCAACATAAGATCTATGCCAGACATATCACCGTTTGTGTGCCAAAATACACTCATTGCTGCACTGACTGTCACTTGGATCCAGAACGAGGAGTCTCTGACACATGCATACTCCCACACACGCAGGCAGCACTTTTCAGAGATAAAAGTGTTTCTACAAATCAGAATGTACTGAGCTGTCCTGGCTGGTGGCCATCTTGGGACAAAAGATACTGTTTGTGCTGTGTACCTCATTCTCAGTCAACTGTAGCTTCACTGGATTCCCAGAAGAAAACAATCACAGAAATACTATAATGTGTATCATACATATATAAATATATATAAAAAACAGACTTGATGAGTATCGGCACTTTACAACAGGATTGGAGAGATTATAAATAGAAGCCTTTCACAGTGTAATGACATGTGATCCAAAGCCTGAGTTCATTTACTTGAATGTCTGCAAAGCAACATGTTCTATAATGTTGAGAGTATATTTTGCACATGTTGTTAAAGGCACTTTGAAACATACTGACAGTATGTTCGAGTTGCACAACCATTTTTTAAAAAAATGAATATTTTATACTGGTGAATAATAAATGATTTTTTTTCTACCAAGTGACGTCATCCTTCTTCACTGCTAGCAGGGCTTTTAGTGCTTGTCTCTTTCCATCTCTCACTCTTTAACTCGGACCGCTGTTCCTGTATCTTAAATTATTTCGTGTTCGAAGCAATGGGCGATGTTATTACCGTCCTGGAGCACCCACTGCATCCTTGAAGCAGCCGTGGCATGAGAATGCGGCGATTATGCAAGAGGTTTCTCTCTCCTCCTACCAGTTTTCTGAAAATTTCTGCAGTCAGTTCGTTTTCACACTCTCTACGCACGCGGCACCGAGGGCTATGAAAGGTGTCCAGCAAAGACATAAAGAGGATGAGTCACTGGAAGCCTGAGCAGAGCTTTTTTTTCCCTCCTTCAAGGTTTAACCTCTCACTTAAGACATCATAGCACACACACCAAACACTGAACAGTCAGTGAAATTCACTCTCTTTATTGAACGAACTAATCATTTGGAAATTTAAGGCAGGAGAAGCAGATCTTTGGCTAAGCATGCCGTGTCATGGTGCGTTAACACAGACAGACTTAAAAGAAAAGGCACTTTAAAAAAAAAAAAGTGGTCCACATTAAACAGTCAGTTCATTGGACTCATCATCATAGTTTTGGAGAAAGCTGACAGGAACCTGTATTGCTAACCAAATTAAGGCACAGACACTGAAATTCAGTATAAAAAAGGCACTGTGATTAAAGCAACAGATTCTAGTTGATCCCCAGAAAATCTCAGAATACAATTGCAGGAAGAAAAACATAAGAAAAGTAAAATACATTAGCTAAAAAAATAACATTAAAAATAAAAATCAAGTTATTAATGTTAATTTCTGCATATGTTAAGTATGGCAAACTTATCCAACACTCCTGGTGTCTGACATCAGCCAATACCTCTCTCCTTATCTCACTGAATAATTAATTACCGAGTTTGTTTATGAGCTACAACCACAAGACAAAGGTTCTCATGAAACCACTTAAAAAAAACAAAGAAAAAGTGAGAAGACAAAATACAAAATGTAATAAAAACTGTGCTTTGGGATTTAAAGTGATTGAATTAATAATCCATAGATATAAACTTTACATCCGTATCACATAATCTATGAAGAAGCTTGTCTTTCCATCGATACATATAACTACTGTGAACTGAAGCTGTTGCATGTGTGTGTGTGCTTGTGTTCGATTTTACTCTATTATCTGTTGCCATAATGCACCACAGCCACTAAAAACCAGGCTTTAAGCCCTCAGCAAAAGATACCTGACTGTAACAGACACGCAGAGAGAGGCGGAGGTGATGCATTTAGGCACGCGCTCAGGAGAGACGTGCCTCACATCACATAGCGCTCTTGCATCAATAACAGCCGTGTGTCATCCAATGAGAATTAATGGCAAACTAGGACAAAACCAGACACGCTCGCTCCATTTATAACTCTGACATAAATTATTTTGAATATATACGTGACCGGATCGAGGAATGTGATTTGAAATTGGTCACAAGCAAATACAACATGCACACGTCCTCTCAAAGTGACCAGCTTTCACACAAAAAATACACAGACCTCTGTGCTGTTTGTACTTAAAGGCTGGAATCTGAATGGGAATGCACAGGTGTTTTCTAAGACTGAGGAAGAAAACAAACAAACAACCACACACACACACACACAGACAGACACAAACACGCACACGGTAGTGAGAGGAAAAAGGATGGCGATCAATCGGACCAGTCATCGTCCTCTCCGAACTCGGAGGAGTCGTCCTCGCTGTCGCTGCACTCCACGGCGATACGGCGCGACAGGATGGCGGCCACATCGTTGCCGAAGTGATCCCTCTTCTCCTGCTCCCGCTGTTCCTCCACCTTCCGCAGGTTGAAACCTGAAAGCGTGTTAAATGGTTTAAAGGCATGTTCAACATCTGAGTAATCTTTATCCAGCTTAACTCTGTCATTATTTAGGTCATTCATAGAAAAACGCTGTCATCACTGACTATCAGGGTAATCAGGGAGCTGGCAGATAGTAGTCACAAATCATGTATGGCACTTGAAGGAAAGAGTCCACATACTCAATACTTAAAATGCAGTTTTTAAGTATTTAATATCATTCGAGACCACCACACACTGCCTTTTTAAAAGCTGAACGTGTTACCTAAGGTCCTTGACTTAATTAATTACAGCTCAGTGGCATAATTCATTTCCTCCTCTGCCCTCTTCCCTGCTGTGCTGATACAGAGACATACTGTTTCCAGATAATGGTTTGAGGCGAGTGGGAGTTGACTGCAGCGTTAAAGTCTACAACAAATCAACTAGTTTAAGACAAACAGCTCATAAAGCTCAACAATAACACATGATTAGCATATCATTTTGTATGTATCACAGGATGATGAGAACCGTATGGTTGTGAAGAGGGAGTATCAGTTTGACTGCAAAGCTGGAGGAGTCAAGGACATCACACTTATTTATGTAAGCCGCAACATGTTGTGGAGAAAATACTCACTGCCGAGTGGAGAAAACAAAAAACAAACCCAAAAAAAACAAACAAACCTTTCAGGGTTTTGAAGGACTTTTCTTGTCAGCAGCCTTGATTCAAATTAATGGTTAAAACGCTCAAAATAGCCACTTTATTCACCTGCTGTTAATGCAAATGTCTCATTAGCCAATCACATGACCGTAACCAAAAAACATTTACGTGGCACAGCTGTTGATGCCAGAGTACTTCAGAAACTGCTGATCTACTGGGATTTCCCCAAACAACCATCTCTCGGGCTTAAAACACTGAAGAAATGTTTCCTGGTCTGAGTTTTGATTTCCGACTTTGGGCCCGTAATTACCAGCCGATCGTTAGTTACAGTCTAGCCAAGTACTGTTGCTGACCATGTGCATGTTCATGACCAGAGTGTAACACATCATGTCACAAAGCTCAAATCATCTCAAACTGGCTTCTTGAACATGAGTTCACGGTTTGTAGGTCCACGTTTTTTTTTATGCATGCCACTTTGTTTATACTCCTGCTCAAACGTATCACACTGTTTCACTCACTGACAGCTGGGAGTAAAAATGTGTCAAAAAACAGCGGCAGGCAGCAGGGACCAAATTAAGTAGTAAACATTGCAGGATTCAATTTTTTTTCTCCAATCTGCTTTGTAAATGTTTCGCAAGTAAGGGAATGCACAGACAAAGTAAATGGTGACATGTCAGTGTGCACAAACGCAGAGCATATATCTTCTTTACTCTTTGGTAGTTCAAGTATTGTGTTAGTGCTTAAATCTTTATCTGCGAAACTAGCACTGATAATCACGTTTTAGAACAATAGTGGTGTTAAAAGAAAAGGGTGTGCATATCTCACTGCTAGATGTCAGTGGATTGCAGTCAACTGATATCTATTTTCTCACATTTCCCAATTCAAGTGCATGAATTAAGCTACGGTGGCTGTTGTAGGACAAAAACAACAACTCTGGAGTGTTTTGTTCAGAGGGAAAGTGTGCTTTTTAAGACTCTTTAACCATGTCAGCTGTTTGAAGATGAGAGGGCTGCATGTCTAATCTCCTGCCAAGAAGTAATTTTGAAAATACCAGGAATAAATAAGCATGTTTTTGCACTTTTTCCTGATTTACAGCCCTGACTTCAATTTAGGAGATGAGACCTGATGTGAGGAGGAACAGATGATGCTTTATTTAGATGCCACTGCTGTTGTCTCTTCATGTTTTCATTACTTTGGTGAAGGGGCCCCGTTCTCCCGTGATATAAGATAAGTCTGATCTTTTATATCTTGATTCTGACACAAATTAAAGTTTGCGACACAAGAACGCCTACAAGTTAATTTTTCACGGTTCGTTATATATGTATGTTTGTTATGTGTTGCATGTTTTATTTGTTTCCCCATGTTTGAGACTTTGGTCCGGCCCATGAGGCCCGAGGTGTTCCTGCGGTGCTTTACCTTGTCGGATGGCCTGCAGCAGGTCGCTGCGAGCGTCACTGACGGGCTCTGGCTGAGGTTTGGGAGCAGAACAGGCTGTTACCCCGCCAGAAGGTGGCAGACGAGGAGCAGAACTTTCGAAAGGTGGTGGAGGAGGACCGGGGGGAGGCGGTGGAGGAGGTGGTGGCGGTGGACCCCCGCCTGCAGGCATAGGTGGTGGAGGAGGGATGGCGGACATAGATGGGGGAGGAGGGGGAGCAGGTGGAGCGGAAGAGGAGAAGAACGGAGGGGGAGAAGGTGGGGTGTCAAAGCCAGAGGGAGGTGGGGGAATCCCAAAACCAGAAGGTGGAGGAGGGGGAGGAGGTGCAGGGGGAGGAGAGAGACTTGGGCGGGAGTTGTTCGGGGAAGAAGCATTGGGGGGAGCTGGGGGAGGGTGGCTTGGACTCAACATGCTGACACGCTTCTGGGTGGGTGCTCCATCGTTACCATACCTGTAAGTGATGGAGAGGAAGTTGGAGGTATAAAGGATAATATAAACGGCATAATGGAGCCTTCACTTCCCTCCATTAACCTGCAATTTGTGTGCAGCTGCTTCCAGAGCAGCTCCTATTCATTAAAGAATCACAAAGTCAAAGACTATAATCCGTTTAGCTTCAGCTCAGAAGGCGCGTATAGGATTTCAGTGTAGCTGTACGTGTGGCTGTACTTTCACTACATGTTTGCACGGGTGGTGGTGCAATGTGTGGAGCATGTGTGGGCCGGTATGTATGATGTTACAGTACTTACGCCATGTCCGGAGGCGGAGGAGGCAATTCATCGGGACCGGGGGGAGGAGGAGGCGAGCCAGGATCATAAGCATAGGAGTTTGTGCTAAGCTCAAGGCTTTCAGAGTTGAAGCCCTCCCCAGATCCAATACTGCCATTCAGGCCCTCAGAAGAATTCCTTATAAGAAATGAGACATCGCTGTGAGCCCAAAAATAAACCAGACCACAAATAACAAATAATAAGAAACACGGACGCGATTAGCATTTGGTGCTCAGACCGCATCCGTTTATGCGCATTTATAACAATTTCATAGACGTGCCAAACGCATTTTAAAGCAGCAGAAACAGATCGTTACACAAAGTGTTGAGAGAGAATAGCTTGTTCTTCACCTATACAGCTTGTCAGGAAATCGGACTTTTTCTCCTTATCAGGCCTGCTGTGAGGCCGATGAAACACTGCAGGAGCTGAATCAGCAAAACTTCCCATTTTGGTAAAAAGAATATAATCCAAAACGAGGAATTTAGGACTCTTTGATGTTATTATAATGGGTACTATTAACTAATTTGTGCACATATATCTGTTGTATTCATTCTTTTAATTATAATATATATTAAAATTAAAAAACAAACATATATACATATGCACACACACACATATATATAAAAGTATGCAACAATATTAGTACCATCAAGAACAGGGCCCAGTGTGACTCACACATTTGTTTACTGCAATTTTCCAATGACAGCCAGCTCTACACCCAACCCCCCGAGAACATTTTCTGACAGGACATACCATCCAAACCACTGTGTACAGATCCAGTGATAAAAGGGGAAAGAATGAGCAAAATAATGTCTCATCTGTTTTTTTACTTTGTAAAGAGAAACAATAGATTTTTATTGTATTAATTAAATGATTTATAAGATGCTTGAAATCCACATTAAAGCCTACTGGGTATGTCAGGGCTCAGAGCCACTGCAGCCTTGTGGATGACGCTGGATGAAAATGATTGATGTTTTGTGATGGACTATTGTGAAGATATTATTTTACTATAATTAGACTTTGATGGTTTTTGTTATTTTGATTCCTGGTCAGTGTTAATGACTGATAAACAAAAAGGAGGCATCTCAGAAAACTTACATCAAGTCAGACTTTGGTACAACAAACTCCTCTCCCATCTTACGCCGTTCCCATTCATCCTTTCTGGTCTTGATCTTTCGAGGATTGAGGGTCCGTTGGTTCAGATGGTCTTTCTTTTCCTTCTGCTCATTAAGGAGACGGTTTAAAAAGTGCAAGATTAGCACTGGATTCGAACATTTTCATGTGATGTGACTAATTGTAGATTGCTTTTACTTGTGTAATGACTCATGTCTTTGTGCGTATGAGGGTGTTTATGAGTCTCACTCTGTGCTTGCGTTTCTCCTTCATGATGTCCTTGGTGTCCTGCAGCATCTTCTCCTTCCACAGGTCAAAGAAGTAGGAGGAATCGGTGTAAAACTTTAGGGCCTCCTTCCCGTCGTCTCTGTAGACAACAATTTACAGACATTAATAATTATTTCTAGGTATCAGTTGCACAATGTGCCATCTTACAAGTATGGAAAAAAAAAAAAACAGTGTTAGTTAAAAGATGGTTATCTGGCATGTGTGTTAGTCTTAAGACGCCAGTAAACTTCCCTTTTTAAAAGAAAACTTCACTAAAAATACATTAATGTCTTTAGTCACATCCACATCACACCGCACGGATAAATCATTGTCCGTAAAGAATGATCCGAGTCAAATTATCACCACATTTACATTCAAACCAGGAACAGCTCTACACATTACATTTAACATTGCCGGGGTAATTACGCAGAGATCACCCTCTCACTCTTATCTGCCTTCTGATTATTCACACTTCAGATGACATATCGTGCCTTGTAAATGATCTACACTCACAGATATCTTAGCTTGTGACTAAAGACTCTTTACATGCATCCATCCGTCCCTTTTTCCCCCCCACTTATCTAGGCTGGAGCCTATCCCAACTACTACACAGCAAAAGGCAGTGTACACCCTGGACAGGTTGCCAATCAGGGCTCCCGCAGAGAGACAACGATTCACAGTCACATTCACACCCACAGTTGATTCGTTATCAACAATTAACATGAAATGCATGTCTTTTGACTGTGGGAGGAAGCCGGAGCAGCTGGAGAGAACCCAGGCAATGGTGCTAACCACGACACCGCCATACTGCCCTCTGGGGTTATTTCCCACAGAATATCTTTCCAAAATCAATTGATTGGTGGGTTATTTAACAGCAAAAGCAACAAGTGTGGCTTGTCAAACTGCTGCCAGAATTAAAACCCCAAAACTTCCTGGACTTAAAGAGGTTACACACTAAAAACAAAACAACAGGGAAACCTATGGCGTCGACACCATAATTCTCTAGGATTTTGTAACAACGTACTATGCGTTTTCTAGTGTAAAACTGCCATTCGTGTTAGACTGAGCCTCCTTAAATCAAACCTAATACTGCCCAGACACCTCCGAGACCCTCTCCTTGATAAGAAGCACATGTAACAGGGGTAAGCTTAAATAATGCACATTACAAGAATCTCCCATGCATGTGTGTTTCCATATGGGCACATGTGCTTGCACGTGTTCTTGTTATTCACTGCTGGAGCTGCTGCAGTGGGTAAATATGAGCTTGGCCTGTGCAGCATCTTACCGGTATACGCTGAGCTGGTTGAGCGGTGGAGGAGGATCGCAGGTCGTGTAAGTGTCTTGTACAGGCATTGGCAGAGATGGCCTGGTGAAGAGCTGCTGGTCCTGGGTCAGACTGCTTTTGAAAGCCTTCTTTGCAGTGATTCCATGCAAAGAAACTGAGAGAAACAGACCGGCAATGTTTTAAACATGTATTGTGTTCATTAGATTCTCTGCAAAGGAGGTTTCAAACCAATACTCTACACTGATACCAGTATAAGTAGTAACGTTAACAGTAAAATGTGCAAGTACATACCCTCCTCTTCTTTGGGGTCCAGCTGGGTGACTTTAACCTGCAGGCGATCCACTCTTTCTCCAAGCGAGCTCACCCTGCCGGCAAATTCTCCAGCCTGAACAAACAGCTCCCCAAACACGTCCTCTGCATATTTGCCTGCACGCGTGCACACACACAAGTTTCTCACTTGCACCAATTAAAGGATTTATCTCACGCATGCATAGCCAATGAAAATTCACATCTACATAAAAATGCATTAACCTTTTTTTTAAAAACAATAAAGATCCATGTAATACATATTCATAACTGCTCATTAACCATTCATACACACACTGACACCCGAGCATAACAGAAGCTTACTGAGGCTGCCGAGCTGGCGGATGATGTTGGCCAGGCTTATGTTGGTGACACATTCCAGCTCACTGCGGATGCTAGAAGGAATGGGATGGCGACAAATATGCCGCGGCTCTATATTCCTCGTCACCAGAGGCATGGTGGGGTGTGCTGGGGGTAGGGCAGCCCAACCCTGTTGGAAAAGGAGAGGTAGGTCAGGGGAGTGAAAAACATATAAATGTAATCAAATTAATATTCAATTTTACTATACTTTTGCACCCAATGAGCACCTATTTTCATTATGACACGACTGTGAACTGGTCCTAAATAAGTCACATGAGACAGACGCCTACAAAAATACACTGACCCAGACAGAGCTAAAGCAGAAGCAAAACTATGCCTTCGCTCCACCCATCGAACATGCACCACCCACCCGGTTTAGAGTGGACAAATCTAAAATGTCCAAAATAGCAAAGAGCAGAACTAGGTGGATTTGTGATTTCCGCACTGCTTAGAGCAGTGGAAACACATCACGTTATTTTAAACAGATTAGTCAGGGCAGCCGTGTGAGCTCACGCAGTGCAGTAACTCCACAGTGTCCAGACTGAATAAGATAAGCAAACGACAGTTCCTATTAAGGGGTCAGAGATTTGCAGTGACTGCAGACTCTCCCTGCTTTCAACACAGTGCGGCCTTGATTTTGGTTTACTCTCTAAGTACAACCTGTTTTGACTGCTGTTGCCCATTGCAGCTGCCTAATTACAAGTTTTTTCCTGTTGGTGGTGAATCATGGCATAAATGTTACTGTGTGTAGAAAAGGAAAGAAAAAGAAAGCGGGAAAAATGGAGGGTCGCTACCCTCTTCCCTCGGGATGTGTATATTATTACCAAGCTACCTGGAGGATTTAGTGATTAATCATGAATGAAGGAATGCGTCCATTTCAGGCTTAGAGGCTTGTTCGTCACTGACAGGTCGCCCACTCTGCCTTTGACAAAGTGCTATTAGCTAGCTTTACTGCACTTTTCCCCCCAACTTTACACCGAGCTCCTAACTTTCTCTGACGTGAGTAAATACGTGGTAAAAAAAAAAAAAAGACGGGTTACACTTTTTTTGCGCCACTAACTTAACTTAAATGGAATAAATGTAACTTGGGATCTCGGCCTTCTCAGAGCAGGAAGTAACTTCTAGGCGTCTCTTATATCGAAGGAAAAGCCAAACAAACGTACATTTACGCCACTCGCTTAAACAAAACAACACACAACAAAGACATTTCACTTACCGTCAAACCTGGTAACCTTAGGCGTCTCTTTATACAGCCCTACAATTGTTATTGTCTCAAGATTTTTCTTAAGAAATGTTGTTCGGTACTGTATGCGGGACCGAGCTAAACAGATTGCCCAAGTCCCGGGGTTGCGAACTTCTGATTGGTCGAGCGGCGGAGTTCTTTGAAGCTGATTGGCTGCTGGGCCTGTCACCTGCTATAACCGAGAACAGGATGTGGAAATTACAACGTAAAAAGCGCAACTCCACCCAAACTAGTGGCAAACATCTGTCCGCAATTTACGTAAGAGAGGGTGGAGGCAGCGGCACATTCCAACGTGCGCTCAAGCGAGTTGGAACGCGTCCGAGGAATGACTGGCATTAGCTTCCATGGATAAAATGTGCTGTGGAGAAAAGCTCATACCGACAAGCAGGTTGTCCAGTAAGCCTCGGTGAGTGTTAAGTGCCTGCTTAACCTCAGCTCAGTCCGAGCAAACTGCAGAGCTTCAAGTTAGCGTGCATCCAGGGAAGACTCAATCACATAGAAGTTGGCGTCACGCCTGTGAATATGTGGTGAATACATTTGAGACAATGTGGTTATTTTAATGTTGCGATGGGCTTCATCTTGCGGTATAGTGCTCACATTTGTTTTGGCATATAAAGTTAACACTGTTACACCCAGCTTCTTTTGTTTTCCTTCATAGATCAAGTGTCCATACAATGTGGTTGGAGGAAATAGACTATCAAAGTAATTTAATTGTTGCACGCTTGTAGACTTTTTTTTTCTTTTTACTTTTTTGTGCTGTTTCCCACTATCAAGTCCATGTAAATACCGCACGTAGGTTGATGTGTGCTTCTCTCAAATTATTAAACACAACCTTAGAATACACTCATAAAGACATTAAACCTTGTCATTTGTAAACAACCACAGATTCCAAGATCATCAGTACAAACAATTATATGTGAGTACAAGTTATTGAGATGTGTCACCACTTTGCCAAGGCCTGGAAGAAGCCCCGAACTGTCACCCTCAGTGACAGGACACTGGTTAAGATGTTCAGGAATAATCCAGAAACCACCGAGGCTCAAGCCTACTGTGATCTGGAAACTGCAGAAACACCAGTGTCACTGTCCACAGTGAAGCATCACCATGGACTGAGAAGGTGCTTACCAAGAAAGAAGCCCCTGCTCCAAAATCTTCAAGCTCAACTTAAATTTCCAACTGCCCACATGGACAAACCAAATACCTTCAAAAGAAAGGTTTGATGGTTAAGATGGTCAATGGACAAGATGAAGTTTAAACTATTTGGTAAAGTTGTAAAGAGTAAAGTTGAGGCTCTCAAACCAAACAACACTGTACTTGTACCAGCGGTTACGGATGATGGTGGCAGCGTCATGCTTCGGGCTGTTTGTTGCCAGTGGTACCATCAAATTCTTCAACTTCACCTCAAATCAACAGCTAAACGGTTGAAACGTGGACAATATTGGATGTCTCAACAGGAAAAATCATATCAAACACATAACGGTTTTTGGAATGGATAAAGCTATAATAAATATAGGAAAATATGGGTGAATATATAAAACAAATTGTGAGATAATTCTTTTTAATTCAATTCAGTTTTATTTATATTGTGCAACATTGAAACAACAGTTGCCTCAAGGTGTTTATCTTCCACAGGACACAAATTATAGGTACTCTGACTCACCTGACCCATTGCATTACAACCAGTCACTAACAGGTTTTAAACTGCAACTTGATTGTTTTCCTCTAATACATCATCACAGTATACACACCCAGTTTACGATAAAAGCTCTTCTTCGATGTAAATTTTTATTGCACGTATAAGTAATTAAGGCTTACAGTGATGTACTCAAAGAAGTTAACCTGTTGGATCAGACTCGGGTCAAAGGGTTGCATTTTGGGATTCATTGGTAAAAACAAAACAAAACACAGCTTTATGGTACAACTGTAAAACAAAGAATAGCCTGTCAGACAGTTGTTTTGCATTCAGAAATAGTTGGAACATACATACGTCCTTTGTGACACAGTACAGTCTATATGAGTTGAAAATAGTTGTTATTATTTGGCCTCTAACTTGGTTAAAACAACAAGCCCTTCTTCTTCTCAGTATTTGGATACAATAAAATGCTGTTTTAAACATAAATACAGTTTCTCTTTCAGAGTTGGCTATACCCTTTAGCTGCAGATTTCTTCATGTCCACTAGAGGGAGTTGTCATGTGAAGAACTGTGTATGCCTGAAATCCCTGGAAAAACAGGAAACTTCACTAGCTGCTTCCCCCTCTTTGGATAATGTGTGCGCAGCTTCATCCAGCAGTGTGTGAGTCTCAGTGTCGTGTGTTTACCCAGCTGAGTGTGTAGGAGCTGTGAGCATTTGCTACTGTCTGTTTAAGGACACTGTGACCCTCTCCTGCAGAGCTGTGAACCAGCTTGAGTCCACAAGCTTGAAGACCTTGAAGGACACTGAACCAATAGCGGAGCACTTCCTCATCCCTTCCGCCCACCTCAAACCCTGCCCACTGCAGGTGCACCTTAGCAACAAGATGGTGGACATTCTGTAGAGTTCCTGCCTCGATCCAATTCTGAAAAACGCGCCACTCGCCGCTTAGCAGGTCAGCATACAGGAAGTGAACCTAAGGAGAAGAAAGAACAGAGGAAAGTACGGCTCTGGTCTAGCACCTCCCCACCCTCCCAAGCACATAGGAAGCCTAAGTTAGCAAAACACCAGATACAGAACAAAGCAGGCTTTTAGCAACAACAGAAAAGACACTGATTAAGTCAGGAACAGAATTTCCTGTCAGCATGCAAAAGCACTGTAAAAAAAAAACGGCTTTATCAGCTGATCTGAATTGGGATGTTACTGAAATCAGCTCAGCTTTACTAAGAACAATTCCCAGCACCGTCTATATGTTTAATGATAGTTTATTAGGATATATTCATGCTATGAGGGGGGCTGTGGCTCAGCAGATAGAACAGGTCTTCTGCCAATCCCTGCATCCCCTAGTCTCCATGTCAAACTGAACCCAGAGTTTCGCCCAATGCATCCGTTGGAGTGTGAACATATATGTGAATGGGTGACCAGGCTTGTAATGAGAAAGTGTTCTGAATGTTCAAAGTATCAGTTCATTTACCATATTACTACTTTCCATAGTGGACCTGCTGCTTTGTAATCATACAATCATATACAGTCAAATATTGATTATTAGAATTATTAGCTGCAGTTCTTGGAGAAATCGCTTGCAGCTCACTTGCAACTGTTGAAAATACATCCTTACAAGCTAAAAAGTCACAAAATAGAACAATACGTAAAATGTTGAGTCTGTTGCCCTCCCCCTTTAGCATGCAGCAGAAATTAGTACTAGGAATTTTAGCCCACTCTTCTTTGAAGAGTAGTTTTAATTCAGTCACATTGGAGGGGTTTGTAGTTCTTAAGATGCTGTTCCGGGTTCTTTTGTGACCTCCTGGATGAGTCGTTGATGCGCTCTTGGGGTAATTTTGGTAGACCGGCCAATCCTAGGAAGGTTCACCACTGCTCCAAGTTTTCTCCATTTGTGAATAATGACTCTCATCATGGTTCACTGGAGACCCAAAACTTTAGAAATGGCTTTGATATGCGTCAATGACTTTGTTTCTCAGTTGCTTCCTTAGATTGTGAAGTGAACGTGTCATGTTCACTTCACTTTGTTAGACAGGCCGTATTTAAGTGATTTTTTGATTCAACGGGTCTGAGTGTAATCAGAACTGAGTGTGACGAGTAAAATTGAACTCAGCTTTCACAAAAAATCTGGTTAATCACAGTAGATTTAATTAACAGCACTGTCGGTCATAAATGTCGGAACAACTGAGCCACACAGGTTTAAAAGCTGGCAATGGCAGCCACTTGTGTAGTCTGCGTCATGGGCTCTACATACTTGAACCAAATTTGGATCAAACTGGAGGCAATCAGGCACTGAAGCAGTCAGAATTGATTTGCTTGCCCAATCAGGGGGAAACAATACATGAAACCTCTAATTAAACACATGAGCAGTGTCCTGAGTTGTCCAAACATCTTGTGCACCACGTTTGGTTATTTTTGGATGAAATCTGAATAACAGAAAGTCAAAAGTGTTAACAAATGCAACAAATGTGCACGGCCTGTATCAATCTCCTCTGCGTCATCCACTGAATCCAGACAGCTGTGTTCGAATTTTCCTTGTCCATCTAACAGCGAGAAAGTTTAGCCCCCCCCCCAAAATTTAACCCACTCATTTGATCATTTCTCCACCTATGGTGGCGCTATTGCTTACATGAAGCTATTGTATATTTTAATCCCATGCTGTGGCACTAAGTAGTTATAGATGAACATATTGGACTGCTTGCTATTCTGTCACCCCGCATATAATCAAACTCCAGGTATGCAGTTCCCTCTTGTGGCTGCAGGAAGCAATTGGGTGATTCATTCACTTAAACTGTTGCCATGGTAGCCAGAGATGGCGCAGAGCCCTGTTGCTATGGGAACATCTGAGTAAAAGAGCTTTCAGGGTATGTTGGGGTGAAAAGACTCTAAGGTATGTTTGTTTGGCACTGTTTCTCTACATTTCAGTGTGTGTGCATGCGTGCGTGTCTTACTGTGTGATGTCCCAGAGCTGCCATGATGTCTGCCAGTGTCTGAGAAACACCACCCGGGTTTCCTCTCCTCTTGTGCGCGCGCTTCTTTGGAGCTCGCCACTCAAGCCACATCTTGTGCTGGCTGACCACGCCTCCATTGCCATGGTTACTAGCCAAACTGTTGCCAAGGTGACCACCAGATGCATTAGAGTTGCTGGGATCAAAACAGTGTATTTCACATCCCAGCCCCGACACAGTCTTCAGAAAGTCTGCATCTCCCCCATCCATGCTACAGAGACAAAGACAGACATACAAAGACAGGAAGGAAGGCAAAGGCCGTTTGAACATTATTGCATGCATGATTAAATATGCATTGCATTGTTTATTCCAACTGAACCGGTGATAAGAATGCATAGCAGCACGTGCATTGACATAAGGCTCAGACAAGTGGCACACCTGAAGGAATATGCGACACACATTTTGTGTGTAGCTGGAAGGAGCCAGTCCTCAGCACACAGCAGCCAATGGGCTGGCGCTGCAGGGCTCTGTGCTGGCTGAGCCCGCCCTGGAGATAAAACCTTGGAGCAGTTCATCTGGGGACAGACAAGAGGAAAGAGTCACATAAGACGGGCTGGATGGAGGTCTGGAAACAGCGCGACACAGAATTAGCATTCAAATGAGAGGAGGGGAAGCTAAGGAAGGAGAAGTTGTTCAGAAAAGTGGCCAGAATTGTGTAATTTGTGAGAACATTGCAGAGTCATGGCTCGAAATAACTTTGAATAAAACAGAATTGTTTAACGATAAATTCATAATTTGATAGCGGCTGATTAAAAAGGCCACACGTGAGATGCTTTAATTTGTTGCACTGAATAATTTACGGGGACTGTTTCTGCTTTTTTCTTGTTTTCTGTCACATATGCTGCTCCTGCTTTGTGCTCACATTAAGCACGGTGAAAGTTTCAAGTCATGCAGTCAGAGAAAGTTTAAGGTTTCAAACAGCTCTGTTGTAATGTCACCGACTGGCTATCCTTATACGGTCATCTCAAACACTGATGCCCCACCCACCTGCAATTCAAAACACTTTGTGAGGGGCAGCCAATCACAAGAAAGCTGGCTCTAAGTGAGACACAGAAGGTGAACTAACATGCTTCCCTGAGGTATAGTATGAAATACATAAGAATTCATTTAAGTCTGAGAATAAAAACATGGAGCATTATCAAGCCCCTTTAAATAATACCAAACTAAATCAGCACACTAGGAGCAGTTTTTTAAATTCTTCCATATATAACTTTCCTTCCCACTTCTCCAGCACTTGGTGTTGCGTAAGTTTTGTCTCTTGTTTGGGAGTTTCCTGTCTGGAACAAAAAGTCCTTACTGGCTCCAGATATGGTAGATTTCTGCTGGCAGCATATTGACAGTGCCTGACTGATCATATTACTGCTATGTTAACCCCCCACACTCGACTGCAGTCAAAGAAGTGTTGTAGTCAAAAAAGTGAAGTTGCTTTTCTTTATTGATTTCTATTAAGGCTTGGCAAGGTCTAACTCCTGGCTACAAAAATGTGAAGCCCCCACTGAGCTGGAGTGCAGCCTTCAGGGAGTGCGTTATTTATTGGACCAGTGGTTTCCAACCTAAGGGCTGGGACCTCTCCAAGGGGTCAGAGGATAACCCTGGGGCGGGGGGGGCGGGCGGTCATGAGACCAGATTTTTAAACAGACAGGAAAGATGAAGAAAGCCATCTGCAAATAAAAACCTGATTTTTCTTCCTTGACTTTTCTCGTGAAATATAGCAGACACTTTTTAAAGGGTCACAAGCCAAAAGTTTGTGCATTCGACATTCGATGTGTATTACTGGACATACAAGTCCTTTATAACTTCAAGTTGTATTCATCCTGTTATTTCTCATTGCTTATCTGTAATCTTGTGAAATGTGTGTTATGCTGTAGGCTTACTATAGTCTCATTGTTCTACAGTCCCGTAAACGGTTAAAAAATTACCAGACTTCAGGTTGCGTTACATAAAGTAAATGATGTTAGGGAGTTTTGAAATCACTCTCAGACATTTCAAACCCTCTGATTATTTTTGCTCTTTCAGTTTCGGATAACTTTGTGAAGGAAACATTTTTCACTGCAGCATTTTGGATGGTGCTCTGCGCAGCCTACCTGTGGCCTTGTGATATATGAGATGATTCGATTGAGCTCTGCTGTGAAGGATGGCTCGCCTGCTGCCCACAGCTGCACTTCCAATGCTCTGGGTCCCACCTGGGAACATGCATGACATGTATATTTATATATACTCCAGCGCAAGGAATACCAACACATCCAAGAGAATTCTGAATGTGGTTAAATAATGTATAGGAATAGCAGTAAAGTGTGCGAGTGCCCAGGTAGGAGTGCAGAGGAGCCAGGTCACAGGCACTGACCTCCGTCCTGCTGGTATTTGCCTAAGGCGGTGTAACATACAAACACACGTTTGCACACACAACCCCACCATCACCATCAATCTGCACCCCACCTAACTCAGAATGAACCTTTTGGTCACCATGGCAACCTCTGTGGGGAGCGTGTGGGGGGGGGAGGGAGGTGATGATTCACTAGAATGAGTCAGAGTTTAGCCTTGGGCAGATAAAGAGACAGTGAGAGAAGAGCAGAGTGAAAGCGAGAGGGCGAGAGGAGTGAGAGGTGAAGAGGGGACAGATGCACCTACACACAAACACAGATGGAGGCTGTAGCACTCTGCAGCTGAAGGGCAAAGACAGAAAGACGGGAACAGCTGTCATCTCTCTCTGATGTGGGGTCAGCGCTGAGCTGCGCCCCCTGCCCTCACCTGTCCCATCATGCCTGTAATCATGCAGGGAGTCGTGCCCAAACTGGCCCAGCATAATAAATGAACTGGATGAGGACGCCACAGCAGCAGAAGCAGGGTGGCAGTCCTGTTGAATCCCAGTGATCCCAGTATCTGTCTCCCACTTAGTTCATTTTTTAAATTATTTCTAAACTTCATTCATAAATTTAATATATTGGTAATTTAAGTAAAAATAAAAATGCAAGTCATCCCAAAACATTTACACGTGTACTATAATAAAACATTCCACGCATAAACTTATTTCCCTACTTCGTTACGAACCTGGCGCGAGTGCATCTCGTTCTCGTCCTCGTACGCTCGTGCCCCCTCCCCCCTCCTCTGCCCGTCGTCCACCTCTGCCTCCTCCTCAGCCACACCGGGCGTCCCCCGATGCCGTGAGCTCCGCTTCGGTTCAATGCTGATAACGGAAAAGGCGACCCCTCCGTCCCGCTCCTCTAACCCCATCCACACCCGCGCGACTCCAGGTAAAAGTGACCCGACGACAAGGAGCTGGAGCGCGAGGAGAAACGGTGGGATTAAGAGGAGTAGTACTCCCGAGCGGAGGGAGACACCGCAGCGGCCCCTCCACGGCGCACAGGTCCGCATACCTCCACTTCCGCGACGGCTCCGGCGAACATCTCCGGCGCTGTGCCCTGTGATTTAACTTTTTTTTTTTTTTTTTACCCTTTTTTTCGGTTTTCCTGGAGGGCAGAGGAAAGTCCCAGCTGAGAACTCCCCTCCTCCACTTTCCTCCGCGACCTCCTCCTTCTCGTTATCCCCAGGGGAAAGTTGCTGATGACGAAGCGCATTCCTCGGTCAGCGGTGGCCTTATTGACACAGTGACCCCCGCTTTATTTAACCTATAAGTAACTAGGTTATAATTAACAGGCATGTAGGATTAAAGAAAAACACCATTTCGTTTTTATATTGGGCAAACAGGCCATCTCCACCGTAAAAATAAATGCTTTATTTATCAAAAAGATGACCAACTATATTCTTCCACCATACCAGTGTGAGTCATATAAATTTATTATTAGGGTATTAAAAAATATTGAATAAATAAATAAAACTCCAGGCTGTCATATTTAAGATGCACAATCACTGCCTGTGGTCTGTACTTTTATTGAAGTTTGGAAAGTTTATACTAGAACTCTAAATGCTCATTTTGCTCCACATTAATGTCCTAGGCTACTTGGCATCAGAAATCTTCATATTCTATACATCTATTTATCACAAACCATACTTATTATTAACCCAGTTTTAAGTAATTTTAGGTTCTTTCTTGTATGCTGGAGTATAAATACAAAATGAATGGCATCTGAGTAAAATGATGCAATTATATAAATGTGTTTCCATGATATAGTTTAGGACATTTTCATTAATAAACCCCTAAAATGTCCACAAATATGCTAAATAATACAAATGGATGGCTTCTAGTGTTACCTCTGCTTAACTTGAGAAATTATTGTACCGATAATGACAGATTATTGTTATTAGATTTGCTTCTGGTGTGGGATGAAATTGGCTGCGATTTTCCCTAAATTAAACACACACAAAAACGAAGCAGTTGCATATAAATGAAATTGCAGTGTTTTATAGAAATGCCACACAAAAGAAAAGTCTGAAAGAGAGCTGTCGCTCTGCACCATCCCCCTCTCGGTCTGTCATGTAATGTTGTTGACAGTTCGTGCACCCTTCCACCATACAGTGGAATGTCACAGCAAACACATTTCCTCCGGCCATGTCTGAGTCTATTTAGTCAGTCTGTTGACAAACTGTACACAAAATGCAGCCAGTAAACTTAGCCCATCTGCTTTCTTTCTCTCTAATTCTCTGTCTGGCATGCACATGCATATACACAAGCTGCAGATGTACAGTATTTGCCGTATAGTAGCAAGTTTCCCTGCGAGGGCATGAAATAGGCATGGGTTCCTTTCCTGTCAGCTCTCTCCCGTACCAGCAGTCTTTGGTTGCTTGCTTTAAAACATTTCCTTATTTGGATGAATTGTGAAACTACAATTTTGCGCATTTTTTTTGTTTTGTTTTAATGGCTTTAAGAACCAATTCAACACCTTTTTCTGATTTCCTCAGTCTGGTTTCTTTCTTTTCCCTCCAACGTATCCTCCCCTGCTCTCTCCCCACCATCTATTCCTCTCCTCCCCTCCCTTTCACTCCCTGTCGAATTGTGTCCTTGAGTGAACTCGCTCGCTCGCACACTCGCTCACAGTCCCAGACAGCCTGGGCAAAGCCCAATACTCAGGGAGGCTCTAAAACACAGCCACACACAAACACACTCACACCTCCCCCCTTAATCCGGCAAAGAAGCTCAATGCTATAGACGAGATTACCAATGGCAAGAACAGAATGTGTATTTAAATATTTTGCACCTCAGATACATACATGATATGTAACAGACAGATATACAATTTATTTATTTTTTTTTCATCACAAAAACCACCAAACAACACAAGACCACAGAAAAAAGAAGGGAGAGAGTGAAAGAAAGAATTAGGCCCCGCCAAGACTTTGGTGTCTGGGAAGCTTCACTCCTTTTGACCCCACAGGCACACACACGCACACGCCCATACACGCACATGTAGGCACACGCACAAACAAAAACATGCATGTCACACGAACGCAGCCGCTCCGTCTCAAACTCACACACAGAAAACAAGAGTCTCTTTGGGGCCGTTGTGTAATTTCAATGTCTCTTTCCCTTGTAGTTAAAACAGCAAAACACAGGATGTTAAGTCTCCATGCTGCAGTATCCCCAACCCCCCACCCCTCCCTCCCACCCACCCCACAGAGCAGAGAAACCATGGCAGAACGCAGAGGAGGGCAAGTTGATGATGGGCCTTCACAGCGAAAGAGAGGCCCCCTGGCTTGGAGCTGGAGTCATATGTACAGATGCTGGTATTTCAAGAGCAGAAACTGATTGAGTCCACTTTTTCTCTTATGGGACACAACACAAGGAGTGCACAGAGAGGGACATTTGCTAGGCTTATGGCATTTCAGAAGTTGATTCAGGCTCAGATGCGGTTCGAGTTTGGGCACAAGACAGAAATGCAGAGCTGAGAGCAGAACACAGTTGCTGGTTTAGCAGAGGAGGAGAGAAAACAGGGGAAATAAACACAGAGAGAAAGAGCGAGTAGTGTGATCCTAGTTTGCCCACATTGCAGATACAGGGAAAAAATAAAATAAATAACGCAAAGATTTGGTGAGTTAGACTTCTAAGGGAAACAGAGTCCTCCATGTATCACAGCAGGACTCCAAGGGATGAGGAGATAGGTTTGTCTTTGTCCGTCAGCGTCTGGTATTCATCTGTCAGCTCCTCCTGGCCGTTCCCTCATTCCAGCGTGTGAGTGCGCACACGTACGACTTCATGTGGTCATGTTTAGGTAGTGAACAAATCCGCGCAAGCGTGTCTCGCGTTTGCGCGCGCGTGTGCGTTTGTGTATGTGCATGCTCGAGTACGTGAGTTGATCTTGATTGTCAGTGCTGGAGAATTAAAGCTTTAACTGTCCAAAAGCTGGCAGCTAAATTCTCACCCTTCATTTCACAGTCCCTCACAAAGAAGTCCCCTTAAAAAAAGGAAAAGAAAGAAAAGAAAAAGAAAAAATGTTTGCAAATCTGTAAAAGCTTGAATTGAATGCACCTGAAAGGAAAACGGAGAGAGGGAGAGACAACAAGAGATCAGAAGAGACAATAAAAGTAATATGAGACACTTTCTATTAAAAAAAACAAACATTTTTAGGATATTTTAGTCAGAGCGATGTGTCCATTTTGATGAAAATTGCACTTTTGCATTTCAGCCTAAAGATAAATATATGGGGTTTAACAAGCTAGAGAGGTTTTGAAATAGAAACTGCAGCAAAACACGTTCAAATTCACCTGTAACCTCCATTAAATTGGCAAAAAAAATGTGCAAATGTGGTCCTAGAGAGTGTGCAGAGCAGGGCTCAAACATGCAACTTTGAACCCATGTCTTTAGCATTGTTTGGTTTTACAGGGTTGGTGAGACCATCCTACACCCTTTTTAAAGTATTTTGTATCTTAGATCTAAAAAAAAGAAAAGAAACAATTTTATTATTGATGTCCTTTTCCCCCATTAGCTCAAAAACAGATTAAAGGTAGCGTCTTTTACTGTAAAAGTTGCTTGGCACAAAATTGCTCATGCACACAGATATAAGCTTCGCACGACGAGGCTTAAATTGTTTTTGATGGGTTATTACTAAAAGGTGACCTGTTCCATTTATCATTGGACAAAAATACTGTTGTTAGTGTTGCTCTGCAAATAAGTGCTATCAGCACACATCGTCTTTTAAGCTGCCTTTACTGTTGGTGTTCTAGATACACTGAAGATATGAATTGGCCTTTTATGATCATGTTTATGGGGTAAGTCTAATAATAACAAAACAGTAATAAAAAAAATGATTTTGCTTCTACATCCAGTTGAATATTATGTAACATTCATTGCTTAACAGTTTATGGATCTATTTATGCATTTCCACCCTTTTCCATACCTACGTTGTCCTCGACAGTCACTCACCTGCCGTTACAGGCTTGTGACGCTGAAGCTGTCATCACCGGCTGGGTCCAGGAGCTGGCACAGCACCCCGCCACCCTGAGCCGCCTGGGAGGGGTAGCGGTGTCCCATGCCTTGATAGGATTGCTGGGGCACAGAGTAGCCACTAGTGTCCTCCTGATGGGGCGAGGAGTCCAGGGGAGGTTTGGGGTACGGGGAGTGAGGCAAGGGCCCCTGCCGATGGCCCGTGCTCATGGCGTGGGAGGTCATATCCCGCTTGTGTGGGGTAATGGCGGCGGGAGGGCTGCGCTCCTCATAAAGCATAGGTGTTGCATGGCAATGGAGGCCGGGGCTGGGGTTGGAGTGTGTATGCGAAGGGAGGTGGGTGTTGAGGTTGGTGTGTGCATTGAGGTGGGGTTGATTGTTGGAGTGCGAGAGAGGGCTGCTCTGTAGGTGCGATGTTGGATGCGTGTTTGTGTGTGAGCTCAGGTGGGGCTGTGTGCTGGGATGATGTGCGTCGTGCGGAGTTGGAGTCAGATGTGTGTGCGTGTTTGCATTTGGGCTAGAGAGCGAATTAGCCGGTGTGCTCCCATGTGGACTTGCGTGCGGGTTGCTGTGTGCGTGCACAGCTGTATTTGAGTGAGCGTGTGGGCTTGGGCTGCCACTGTGCGATGTCTGTCCGTACCAGTAGGGGGAGCTGCAGTAGCTGGGTGAGTCGTACTGCGAAAACTGGGGGTCTTTCAGAGGGGGGCGGTGCGAGGGACTGAGTGCAGTGCCGCAGTGGGGTGTTAGCCGTGGTGAGGGGGAGCAAGAGGGGGAGAAGGTCCTGGAGGGGACAAGGTGGTAGGACTGGTGTGGAGGAGGGGTGGGCTTGGGTGGATAAGGGGGAGAAGAAACACTGGGTGAGAGGGAAGAGGAGGATTCTCCAGGGTATAAGGCCGGATATCGCTCCTCAGAGGATGGTGTGGAGGGGTGGGCAGAATAGGGGGAGGGGTACTCACAGGGGTCCTGGAGGTAGCTGGAAGGTGGCGCAGGATTAGGAGTGGCCAAAGGAGAAAGGCTGCTACTGTCTCCACTGTAATAATCCAGCCCTTCCTGAAACAACCCGGACCCCTCTGGACCTACAGCAGACACCGCTGGTCCCACCGCTGACGTAGACGCAGCCTTGCCCCTCCCTTTGGATCCCGCTGGCCTCTCCCTCTGACAGGGAGACAGACCTCCTCTGCCTCCTCTCGACCCCCTGCCCCGTCCTCCGACCCCTCCGCGCTTAGGTCCAGGAGCAGGTGTTGGTGAGGGACTGGATGGGGAATCAGAGTGCAAAGCAGAAACTCCTTCTTTTTCTAAATGTGGCTCAGTCCGTTTCCTGCGACCACGGCCGGGTTTGTTGGTCCCCCCACCCTGGAAGAGGACATTCTGGCTCCAGTTATAAGAAGGTCCCGAGGCACTCTCATGCCAGTCCATCATCAGCTTCTCCAGGCTGGACAGACTTGACTGGCCCCCTTCTCCACTAACAGAAACAACCTCATTCTGTTTGTACGTGCCACATGTGGAACTAGGGCCACTATTAGTGGCTGCGGAGCCAAGATGTGAAGAGTCAGAAGAAGATTCTGACAAACTTTCAGGGAAAGGCTGTCGCTTGGCCTTCTGGGGGGTGTAGTTTGAGATATCCAAGATGTCTTTGGACTCATTGGATCCATATTCACTATAGCCATGGTACTGAGGTCCAAAGCTGTCTGTTGACCAGCCACTGTAACCTTGTCTGAAAAAAATAAATAATAAGAATACCAACATATATTATACAATAAATAAAAACACTTAAGCAGTATTTGTGCAAAAGAGTTTTCACTGCTCTTTGTTGCAGTTTCACAAATCAGTAACAGGAGAAATCTCAGTGGCAGGCTATGACAGTGCACTTGTAAGCTGGGTAAGGATGAGGAATATTTAGCCAAAATTTTAATTTTCACAAGGCAGGCATGGTGATATTGAAAATTGCATGCCGGAGTGAAACATTCATCCTGAGAAATATAATCATCAGACGTGATCGGGTTTTTCAGATATCTAAAAGCCTGATTTGCACCTTTTTTTTGTTTATTGTCAAATAAAATATTTAATTACCTACATTTACATTTAAGTTTAATTAAAACCAAGTCAAATGTTTGTGTGATAATTTAAGATTTACTTCCATTAGTTAATGTAGGATTTCTTTTAATGACACCTGAGTGGTAGAAGTGATTTACCTGAAGTTCCACTGATTGGGGTTGTATTGTTTGTAACCCTCTAGGGAGGAGGAGCTGAAGGGGCTACTTTTGGCCACAGACATGTATCCTCCTCCAGGTGACGTCGGCCCTGTTGAGTCCCCCCGCATTGCAGAGGAATGACTTGCACTTGGATATCCACCGTAGCCCCGCTTGGCTGTGGCTTGATAGCTAGAATAACCCATTGGACCGACAGGGTTGGCCTTGCCAATGTTGTTACCAGACCAGCTGCAGTCTGAGGATCTCTGTGGCACCACAGGAGAGGAGCAGGAGTAGCCAGAAGAGTAGTGGCCATAAGAGGCGGGATGGGGGGAGCTAGGAGAGTGTGAGAGAGATGGAGGAGTGGATTTAGGATAGGTAGAAGTGGTGGGGGATGTTTGGGCCAGGCTGGCATAGCTATATGGAGGCCTGCTTGAGGAGCCAGGTGTCTGGCCTGAACCCTCCGCCCCAGAACTTGCACCCTTAGTGCTCCACTTAGAGAATGCGGTAGACCAGTTGTGACTGGTAGCTGGGCTGGATGGCTCGTATCCAGGGGTAGATGAAGCTTTGCGGGGGTCAGACTGTGCGGAGGAGATGTCCAGCAGGTCCGAGGAATCATCAGAGTCGAGCAGTGATCGGAAATAACCAGCGAAGAGGCCTTGTGAGTCCTCCCCAGCTGGCCCAACCCCTCTGCTCCCACCTGGGCTGCTGTAGGCACCTCCCCGTCCAAGCTCACAGGAGGAGAAGCCCCCCCTTGGAGTTCCACAGAGCTGATACCCACCCAAGCCTTTCTGTTTATCCATAGGTCCCTCTTCACCCCAGCCACCTGCCCCATTGGGCCAGTCTTGCCCCATGGACACCCCACTCCCTTTGAATGCACCATTTTTTTTCATACGTCTCCTCCTGACTATTTTCTCACCCCCAGGCACTGTTCCTACTACACCGCCTCCTCTGCCCACCCCACCTCCACCCACACCCTTCCCTCTTTTCCTAGGTAATCCATGCTCAGACAGGGGGCTCAGTTTCCGCTTTTTTCCGATAGATTCAAAGAAGTCACTGAAGGTGCTCTTATTACACTCTCTGCCTCCGATCCCCCCTGCTGCTCCTCCTCCCCGTCCAACACCTCCTCCTCTGCCACCCCGTGGGCGTCTAAACCCAGTGAGCCGGTGGAGCAGGGTGGATATTCCAGGGTTTTCTGAGGGGGTATGAAAACTTTCTGGCTCACTAGGTGTCCAGCAACGAGGGGGGGAGCAGCGGCCAGTGGCAGGAGGCTGGCGGTTTAAAAAGGCCAGTTTGGAGAGAACATCCCCATATTCGGTTTTCACATCATTCGTGTCATTAACATAGGATGGATAAGGATAAGGGAGTTTAGTCCGTCGCCGCCTCCGGGGCTTCTTGGGCTGGTCTCCATTACCACCAGGGTTCCCAGCATTTGGAGGCTCCCCCTGTATTCCTGGCAGGGGCTGTTTAGGCGGTCGTCCCCGCCTGCGTTTGAGGATAACAGGGAGCTCTCCGGGAGGGAACATCACCATCACACTCTTTCCGTTGTTTTTCATTCGGAGGAGCGCAGTTGGCTCTCGGGCTGCCTCTGAGCCCTCCACGTTGCCATCATTACTCTTTTCCGTCCCCGTGATCGTTTCCAGATTAGAAATTTTGTAGCTCTTCTGTCGCCGGCTAAGGCTGACTGGAATGCGTGCCACTTTGACAACAATCCTCCTCACCTGTAAAGCAGACACAAAGGTAAAACAGCTGCGACAGCAAATTGACTCAATGTTCATTAGTGAATAATATGACGTTATATGTAATGTCAAAAAGAAGTGGTGATGCAGCGATATGTGACTAAAAAATAAACTTACACCAACAAAACGCCCACGTCTGCCATTACTGGGAGGACATACCCTCAACTCCGCAACGGGTTCCTCCTTCATCGTTAGCAGAGATCCAGGGATTGTGGGCGTGTTCCCAAATGAGAGATGAGGAGTAGCGTGATCGTGGATAGCCTGGGCTGCCTGACGCTGTTTCATTACACTTTTAGGGCCTGCTTTATGAACAGGTTTTGTTGAGGGCCTGGACCTGGATTTAGGTCCAGGTCTATAGCCGAGTCTGGGACCAGGTTTAGGTATAGCTTTAGGAACAGGTTTAGGTACAGTTAGAGCAAGAGCAGTATCTGTGTGACTGGTAACTGCAGGGAGAACAGCCTCCACAGATGAGTGCTCTTCTTTATCACCAACTGCCACCTCCTCCTCTTTTACCCTCCAGATCTTTTCCTCTAATACTTCCTCATCCTCCTCTCCTCCCTTTTCCCTCCCTGCTTTTTTTTCCCCATCCTCAATGCTTCTGCGGAGGCGTGAGGATTTGCGCAGGTGACAGGGAAAGCGGGGACGTCCAGAGCTACGGAGTGCATACTTTTTTTCTGTCTCTATGGGAAGTGGGGAGGAGTCAGTGTTTGAGTTTGGACCAGCAGGGACTGGACAAAATGTTGAGGGCACGTCTGTCTCTGCAGTTCGGACCGGGGCTGCCAGCTGATTGGTGGAGGCAGGATGATTGCCTAGCGCCAAAGACAAGGGCTGCGGTGAGTGTATGGCCTCTGGTGTAAGAGATTTGGAGAGTTCTGGCCCTACAGAAGCTGCGTGTGAGTTCACATCCGTGAGTCCACAGTTCTCCATATTTGCATGAGAAAAAGCCTGTGCATGCACATCTGGGTCTATGTGTGTTTGCATGTTTCGAAACGTCTCTGCAAACGTATGTGTCTCAGCAGTCGTGTGAGTCTCTGTCTGCCGCCGCCGGCAACTGCTGTGCCCCAGCCTCCTCTGAAGATGGAGGCCGTTGGCCAGGGCAGACGGAGAGGAGGAGGGAATGTGGTCGGATGTTACCAGCGTCAGTCCATCATGAGAAGGATCCTGGAACCCCCCCTGGAGCGTGAGCTCCCTGGTCCAGAACTCCGCTCCTTCGAGCGCTTCAAGCTCCTCGAGCCCCGGCACACACCCCTTTTCTTCAGCCCGAGCCTCACCACAGCCCACTGGAGCCCCAGTTTGGCCTGAATGCAGGTGATCTGATAAGCTACTCATTCAGGACACAGTTTTGCTGGCACTGAGGCAGGGAAAAGATGGATGTTTTCAGATTTATGTAAATGGGTATTTCTTCTTTGTAGCTGTCGTCCTCTAACAGCTGGCAAGAAGACTCAAAAACCTAAAGACAGATACGAAAACAATATTACCAACTGAAAAGTAAGCCCATAAATATGTTAAAACCTCCTCCTTGAATTTAAGACATTTAATCCAAACCCCATGAGTCTCCCCACCCCCAAAAATGGCTTTTGCTAAGCATAAATTATGGAACACGTAGAAAAATTTGCAGAGATGTAATTGCGATTGTGAAATCGAATCGTCAACATTTTTGGCAATGGGCCATAAACCTAATCCATGATGCACTCTCCTCTATTAACTGTGCCACCCACACAGCAGCATTACAACATTAGATTACATTTACCATTCATATCCTGTTCAATTTGTTGCTTTTACCAAACGATCATGGCACTGATTCTGATTTTGATTCTGAGTTGAGCCTCACTCTGTCTGCCTGACTGGCTCTGTTCTGCAGGGGATCATTGGGTCATCAATACTGCAGTGGAGAGCTCACATACTTCTCCCTCTCCCCTCTGCTCCTGTCTTTTGCCCATGGTTGCTGGAGTGAGAGAAAGAAAGATAGAGATACAGACAGGGGGAAGGGACAAAGAGTTGAAGAAGGTGGAGGAAAATGCGGAGTGTGGGGAAATGAAAGGAGAAAAAAGAAAGGAGGAGGGTGGAGCAGAAAGAACAAGAGAAAAAGAGATTAGTACATGATGTCACAGCATGCATCAGGCCAGACTAGAATCAGTATTTTGGTGCGGGCTGCACTATCTCATGCAATTATTTTGGAGGATGACTTGCAGTATAAATTTTTAAAGTCTAATTGTAGTTAGTGTTTCATTCTGATGTGTTCCAGCATAGTGTGGGTACAAGCGTATGCTGGTATAAATACTCAGAGGATCATCAATACGCGACAGTAATGTTTTTGCCGCATGTGCGATATTTGAGTGAGAGGACGTATATGTTGTTGAAAAATGTAAAGAAATTCAACTGTTGAATCATGTCGCACAGCAGACTTGGGTGCGTGCGCCCACACACACATACACACACACTGTCACTGCTCGTGCCACGTTTCACCAAAACTATTCCAAATGCATTACAAAGCTCTAGACTCTGAGGGTGCAACAAGAATGAGAATGTGTGAATAATCACATCCACCAGGGGGAAGCAGAGAGGTGGTGAATGGAGAGGTGTTAAGAGGATGGAGAGATGAAGGTGACAGAAAGACAGGAGCGATGGAGGGATTATAGAAACCCAAAGCATGGGGAGAAGTGCAGGCAGAAGTGCTGTGAAATCTCAGCCCCGTGTGGTGTGAGACTCACATGTGACTGCATCCAATCACAAGTAAACGCAACATTTGCAAACTTAATTTATACATACGCACACGGCTGACTCCCAACACTGTACCGCACGGTCTACATTCAACACAATTATGTCCATCGTCAGATCTCCCTGCCTCCCTCTCCAACATATGGCTCTGATTAGGAGGGAGGGTGAAGGACAGGGAGAGAGAGAGAAAGGCGGGGATGGAGAAAGGGGGAGTGTGAGACATGAGAGAATGGGAGAGTGAATGGGTGAGAACATATGAAAAGAGTGAGAGAAAAAAGAAGAAGAAGAACAGGAAGGTGAAAGATATGATTGAGTCGGTAGCGGGGCAGAGACAGGCAGACAGATTTTTGGCAAAATGAGGGAGCAAAAGTTGGTGAAGAGGAGGCGAGAGGAAGACAAAAGAGTAGAGGGAGTAGAGGAGAAGAAGTGGGAGAGTTTCGCTGTAGCAGAGTTTTGCGGCTGCACACATGGAGCAGAGCAAACCTCGGTGCTCTGCTGCTCTGAGGAATGACACAACTGGGACAGACGAACATGGAGATGAACACAAACACGCTAAACATACTTTCTTTAACCCCCCTCTCACCCACACAGCCCCCCCCATTCCCAGCGCTACCTCAGATTCCCCCACCCCTCCTCCGCCTCTCCCACTTTCATTCTCACTTTCTCTCTCGTCTAATTAACAGCGCTCATTAATTAAGGCTTCATCTGACCAGTTTGTGAGAGAACAAGAAGAGCACATGCTTTAATTAAGCATTGCGTCACATGCGCTCGCTGCGCTCACGCACACACATGCGTGCACGCGCTGTCACTCAGAGGCGCACACGCACCAGCGACACATGCCAGCACGCAAACGCGCATGCAAAACATGCCCCCACAGCTCCATCCTCCCACACACTCGCACATCGATTTACACATAAAGACAGACATATCACGCACACATGTGAACCCATGCACGATCACACGCCAAACAAAGACAAACATGCAAATATCCCTCTACTGTGCTCTGCGGGGGGTTTTCTGACAGGGTTTTAGATGCCAGCCAATCAAATGCTCCCACTGTGATTCATTGTTTTAAGCAAACACTCCTGGCATCCATCAGCCGCCATTCCAATGTAATCACCGTCATACGTAGCGAATGCGTTTTGGTGCATTTTTTGCTGTGAATGGCTCTGGGGCTCTGGAACACACAGTTGCGTAGTATTGTCTCTGTGAAAACAGCCGAGGGTGCGCGCTGCTCCCACATGATGATCTGTTGAATCTGTTTCACAAAGAGCAGCTCTCGTATGAATGATACTGTTTGAACAGTTTTCATCTTGCACATTTTCTTTTTTTTCTCGGAAAACTTTTAGGTCTAATTGTGCAAGCGCGGGGGAAAGGAAACAGAGGGAGCGACACAGAAAGAGAGAGACTCGAACCTCTCAATTTCCAGTTTGGGCCACTGGCCTGTTGGTGCGTAGTCTAAGAGGCGCAATGACTCTGTACATGGTAGCTGTAAAGCATATCTATTCTGTTCCCATCTATCTCACTGCCACAAAGGCTTGCAGACTCACAGGCCTGCCAGCAGAAACCCTCAATGAGGAACTAGACCCAGTGTGTATGGTTGTGTTTGTGCGCGCACGCACCAGTGTGCTCGTGTATAAGTGTGTCTTCCTGGGTGTGTTTGTAAAAGCACTCACTGAGCTCTAACGGGTGTGCAGTTGTTGCTAAGAGACAGGCAGCAGCACCGAAACAGCATGGGGGGGTGTAAGGGAGGGGGGGGACATAGAGAAGAGAGTGAGTGAGAGAGAGAGAGAGGTGGTGAGGGGAGGAGGGGGCTCCACCGAGAGGTTTAGACAGATAAGAAGAAGAAGGGGGGATGAAACAGAGGGAGCAAGATGGAAAAAGTGTATGTGAGGCCAGCAGAGAAGCATGAGAGGTGGGGAGGGGGAAGTGGGTCAAGGGGTCCGCAGAGGCTGAGTGACACCGCGCAGCGACTCGACTACACCGTCGGGCTCTCGTCGCTCCATCACCTCAACCCTGACGCAACCCCAACCTTCGGCTCCAACAAACATACACGCAACAATAAAATCCTTCCACGGAAATCATCGGTGAACGGAAACATGAGAAAAACACAGCAACAGTGTGTGTACTTTCGAAAAATGTAGCAGACACGCGTGCAGGCAGCGGTTTTGGGGTGTTTACCCCTTTTCCATAGGTGAATGCAAGGCTGATATTGCTCACATTTGGCTATTTGATCATAATTTTAAGTCTTTGTAGATGCGAGGCTTTATTGTTTGCTTGTTTGCGATTGGTTTGATATCCAGCATATAACGTTCGGTTATCCAACACTTCTCAATGAGACACTGACCAAGCAACTTGTTGAGTCGTTGACTGGCGCTGTCGCTCCAGCTTCACACATTACACATTACGTAGTGTCAGTACCATATAGTAGCATTACTTGATGTTGCACTTTAACACTTTGGCCCATAAATGCAACATTTGACGATCTACCCTGTATGATGAGTTTTGACACCTTAGTATATATCAGTGAAGACGTGGTTAGTAAGAAAAGCGAAGTCCACCCTCATAAATTCAGATCCAGTCATTTTGTTGGGCCTGAAATATGACAGAAACTGCTCAGTTCAGAAAAGACCTTCAAGGGTTACTCCTAGTAGGTTTTCAAGGGTTAAGGAAAGACAATACAGGTAAATCGATATGCCACACTTGATTACTTACATGAAGGTGTTTTTGTACGTACTGGAAGTTCTGCTGAGGTTTCAGGTTTACGTATGCAAATAAGGCATTATCTATCTAAATATGAACTAATCTGCCTACTTTTCCAGAAGGGAAAACTGAACACCAGATAAAGCCAGGATCACAATTCTTGTTACATTATAATATTTATCTGCAGAGTCAAAGGGAATATCGTTTGGCACTTTATAAATTGGAAAATGCTGTTCACAACCAGAAAAGGAAAACATTTTTATGATTAAATCATACTATAAATCAAGCTCTGAACAATATAGGGACAAATCTCTCTTCAGAATATAGACGGGAATAAAACTGAAGAGTCTGGTGTATGTAAAGTGGAGAGCTCCGGCTCAGAGTGTGAGAGACTCTAAAGCTACGAATTGTAAAAATGTCAACACATTTTTATTGGAAAGTAGTATTTACAGGCAAAAAGTTGGAGCATTAGTAGTAAGTCACCGTGAAACTCTTATCAGTCAATTCCTTGTAGTGAGACAATACAAGTTTATGAAATTCTATGTTAACTTATGTTAATGAGGTATTATCCTGTTAAATATGCGCTAATTTGCATAAATGCCCAGTAGAGAAAGTCTGGAAGAGTAAAAGTACTAAATGTGAGCAGTTTCTTTCCATTAGTCTGAAGGAAGACTTAACTTTGTTCATTCTGAGCTGCATTACAATACACAAGAATATCCTCATTTAACATGAGCTAAACCTAAACAGAACTTAGACATCAGCTATAAAATAGCTGTCTGACATTTGGATAATAGGTATTTTTTCCCTTCCAAAAAAGTTTTCAGTATTGAATCTTTATTAGTTTAGCCAATTTCTCAAAAGTTTTAATTTAACTCAATAAACAAAGAGTAAAACTCAAGTTATAAGGTCCTGTCTCAACTGCAGTGCACTGCAGCCCAACAGGCAAAAACAGTGAGCAGCTAAGCTTTAACCATATGCAAACTCTTCTGATCAGCAGACCTGGGTTGTCTGAGAGCTCGAGGTGCTGGTAAGTGTGCCAAAACGGTGTTACGTACAGACCGCCGACATCCCCGCACACAAATTACCATCAACATCCCCTCAGAACAACACCGAACCCTGGTGAGCTGCAGCTCCATCCACACACGTCAGTCAAACACAGACAGTCCAAGGAACACCCTTTACATACAGACCCCCCCCCCCAAACAGCATACACCCACCACCCACACTTCTTTCAGCTCTGACCTTCTCCTCTCTTTCTCACCCGGCTCCCTCCAACAGTATCGCCCCGCCTGCCCCCCCCCCCCCCCCCCCTGCAACCACCTTCCCAGCTGCAGGAAATTCCTAATGATCTCCATCATCAGTGCGCGCGCTGTATCTCCTGCCAAGAGTAGGCGTGTGCGCGCACGCACGAACACACGCACGTACACACACCAAGGATGCACACAAAGCATATCAATGAGCAGAGACCAACACATAAACCATATGTGCAGACAAACAAAAAGAGGCAGACAGACAGAAACGCAT